CATCACGTGATGCGAAGAAGCATTGAAAGATATTCAGATAACTGTTACCGTGGAACATTCAGGACTGTTGCAAAAAGATAATCGCTTTACGCAAGATTAACATTGGTATATCAATTTGTAAACAAAACAATGCATCTCCGGACAAAAATGTATTGAAGATATGATCCAAGGAAACAATAATTATGTTGTGTATGAAAATGAAGAGCCCATAAAATCTTTATTTTATAACGCATTGATATATAATCACCGTTTTTCTTTATCTGAGATGAGATACATGTTCATACCATGTAACTCAAACATTTCAAGCGCTGTCCTCTGAAACTGAAAACGTTATTGGTATTTGATACTCGGTTGCGTAAGGTCATATTACTGGGGTCACGCTGCCTCGTTTTGGTTGAAGCTGTTGTAAACATCCGCACCGAGGTTGTTGCCTCTCGTGAGATTACGTCATGGCTAAACAGACGACGAGAGATCAAAAACAATTTGTGCTAAATGTTTGGGGCGGGAAAATAATGGTCTTACGAGACAATTTCTTTGTCAGGCCGCTAGGCATATTCTTACAACATTGTTCTCCATTGTTTGCTATAAACGTGGAAATTGTTTTGGTGAGTCTGACTGTTAGGGGAAGGAAAACGTTGGTAGGGGTAGAAGCGGTTGTTAGTCAGACTCTGAAACAAATATAGACATTTGTACTTCCCATCAAAAGTTTAGACTCACTGAAAACACTGACTATACGTTATGTATATATATGGTTACGTCGAAGATTGATTTCTCCACTAACTTTGGGGAACCACCTGCATACCTTATGTAGATGAATTGCTCGAGGATCATGCATCAAATTGCTGAAAACCTTGTGAACAGCTTCGTTTTGGTGTAAAGTTTTGTTTAGAAATCGCCAATTTTCACTGAGTTTTATCATTTTTTGAACTCATGACATTAATCTTTTGGACTGTACGAATTTGTTTTACAATACATCAATTCATGTGTAAACAGTACCTTTAAACAGTATGGAATGTTTTGCAAAATTTAGTTTCGAACGGTTGCCTGAAGCAAGTGGCTATATTTACACTAGTGAGTCTAAACCTTTGATGGGAAGTATGTATAAAACACACATGAAAGTCTGAAATATTTGGAAAGTCTAGATTAGGCCTACTGCTATTTCAGGAATGAAGACAGTATCTTGGCTCCTTCTTGTAATATCTTATTTGGATGGTGTAAGAACTGGGGGGTTTTCCTGAAAATATGTGCATTGAAAGACTAGATGTTAGTCTAAGATGGCAGCGGAAAGGGGGAAAGATACTAGTCACATGCTGTTAATTCACCACGCTTTGGCTTTGAATCTACGAGATTTTAAAGAATTGAATTAATTGTTAAAGAAATATGTCATGATACCAAATGTTTTACTCACACACTCTCATCTCCCCGTGAGTATGTGTGTGTTCGTGCGTGCGTGCGTGCGAGCGTGTGCGTGTATAAGTGAAATTTGTTAAGTGATGATTCTCGTATAATACTATGCCAATCAACTCGGTGTACACGTTTTTAAAAGAGTGAAAAACGCTTAGACACATTCACTGTCGACTATTCTACAATGTTGGAAAACATGATCCCCTTACGGGTTCGTTCTACCCTAATACTCGGTCATGTCCTGCACATAAAGAGTCAGTGAAATTAGTTTAACACCGCTCTTAGCAATACTCCAGCAATGACACGGCGGGGGACACCAGAAATGGGCTTCACACATTGTACCCATGTGGGGAATCGAACCCGGGTCTTCGGTGTGACGAGCGAACGCTTAAAATAACCACTAGGCTACCCCACCGCCCTGCACACAAAGAAAAACGAAACATCAAATTGAACACAGAAATAAAAACTACTGGAAAACTAAGTAGAACTGCATGTACTTTGACGATGAGAATGAGGGCACTTAATGTTTCTCATGGCCTTCGCGTTATCAAATGTATTATATAAGTAGTCATGATCAAAGTAGTCATTGCTGTTTTCATCTACATCCTAACAATGAATTCATTTGTAATATAGTTGGGTGTAGCTGGGTTTTTTAAAATACTATTTCTTTTGAAATAACATCTTTGACATTAGTAATGGAAAATTATACACGAACGTAAAAAAGAATCTATTCGTTTCGCTTTTGTGTTTTCTGTTTTTAAGAGTGAAACAAAAATCTCTACACCAGCGTCTGATAGATATCCCTATCCCAATGAGGAGCTTATTGCGCAATTGTTTGCTTCGACAAAGCCGCCCGTCTCCTCATACTTTAAGGGGGGCACTGCTCCATTGATATTTACTGAGATACTCGAGTCGTGTGGGTAAAGTATTGCCGCCTCTTTGCTAGGCCCGGAAAATCCCGAGTTGTCACGAATGGGCCCAGTGGATTAAACGTATTAAAACACACTTGTGACGTCACCCTGTGGTTCAAACGATATATTATTTTTCACGTTTTTTGCCAGATATCATTGCCTGCATAATTACCCCAATTTCAAATAACGTGGAATTTACGAACCTATATTTGCTTTTGACACTCAAATGAATGATCTTATATTGTGGCGCATACATGTGTCACATGCATCGTGGAATTTGAGGACGAATATTAGTCCACCTCGACCAAGGCAACAACGGAAACGTATTTTGAAGCATATTTACAATCCTGAACGGATGAGACAAGAATATGACATCACGGTGTTCATGGTAAACTAATTACCTATCCCCATAATGAGAAAAACTTAAAGACTGGAGAAACGTTTAGATTCGGCGAAGCATAAAGTCCCTCAAGTACATGTATTATAAAGATCCCTCAAGTACATGTATTATAAAGATCAAATAACCGTGATCCTATTAATGAACCGACGGTGTACTCGTATGGTCTCATAATGGGAACATATACTTTGTCCATTATGTTTTAAATTTCAGGAAGCCGCCATGTTATCATATTATCGTAACACATAATTGTGGACATGTCATCAGAAACACCTTAAACTATCCCCACTGCTTCTTCATCAGCTATATAGTTCAATGTGCTAGAAGCTAATACAAAATCCACGAAGCACCCTATTGAGATAAACATACAACGTGCAAGCATCTTGACGCAGCTACTGTAGCGGGTACTTCTCATTATCACTTGCATTTTGTATCTGCTTTCATCATCAATGTCTTGGCGAGGTCAGTTTTGACTTTTGATGTCCTCATTATCTACTTATGACGCCATTGCGTCACAGTTTCGCGCCAAAATCAGCCCGTGCATAACATTCTGTAAGTTTTTGTATGGTAAACTGACAATGCCACGTGTTAATCGGTTTAGGTTTCCCGTCCGTTAATGATACAGCGAGTCCCAAGCGTGGTGATAACGTATTACATGGTATGATTGGTAGGTGTCGTCATAATTAGGGTAGAAGTTGGACACTGTATCGGCGTTGTTGACGGGGCTCCTGTCTATATCTCATAACGAATAAACACCGCCAGGCTCTCTACGGGAACCAACAGAGGTTCTACTGATTGGAAACAATCCTTAACAGTTTACAGGGGTCCTTTACCTCAAACCTGTTTTTAATTATTATTTTTCTTCTAATGGTCAGTTAACTTAAAATAAACAACGTTCTGTAACACATGATTTTACATATTGTTTGGCCTTTGAGTGTTAACTATTTCAAAACAGCATTGTTCATATGGTGGTTTGAGTTCCGAAGCATGTATCCAACAGTATGTATGTATGTATGTATGTATGTATGTATGTATGTATGTATGTATGTATGTATGTATGTATGTATGTATGTATGTATGTATGTATGTATGTATGTATGTATGTATGTATGTATGTATGTATGTATGTATGTATGTATGTACGTACGTACGTACGTACGTATGTATGTATGTGTGTATGTATCCTATGGGTGAGTGAGTGAGTATCGTTTTACGCCTCTTTTAGCAATATTCCGGCAATATCACAGTGGGGACATCAATATCACGGTGGGCTGCACACAGTGTACCCATGCAGGCAGAGCACTCACCTTCCATACTGTCATGAACTAGCATGAACATCATCTTCTTCCTTAGTCAGTGAGACTGCACGGTATTACCGGGATACCGCAATACACTTTTCAAACGATACATATCGGTATATGAGGTATAACGCGTTTTGTAATTAAGTCTATATTTTAGATTAAAGTCTAAACAGACTCTTGTTTACAAATGATGCTTCCCGTCTTAATTCATTGACATACTAAATATTAGGTTAAAAAAGGATAGAATCGCTAACTATCCAACCTAATTTTTCGATTGCTGTTACCTAAAACATAATCCATATTTTAGGGCCTTAGTATGCAGAAGAGTTATATACTTTAGTAATAATTTATAATAAAATTAATAGTAATAAAGACTCACTGTAAAAAACTTTAGCTTCCAATATATCGCAACTCGTATATAAAATATATTTACCAATACACAGCCCTATTAGTATTGAAAATGTTATAATTAGAATGTCATTTTCTGTTGTATGTGTAAGATTATTTAATATAATAAAATCCAGTTTTAAACGTTTCAGTTAATGTTTCTAGCTGAACAAATTCCCTTTCTTAAAAATGCGATTAATAGCCAGTGCATATATTCTAATAGTTACGGTTTTGATTTTACTTTCGCTTCTGGAGCACCGGCTGGTGAGGATTATCTCCCTTGTCATATTCGTTTAAGGACTAAGGTGTATCCGAAATCTTCTTATGCTTAATGCGTTCTTGAGTTAAACCAGTTTGACTCTAAAGTACGCGTCGATAGGCTATGCGCTATATACATTTCACAGACCGTATCCCAGTCAATATCGTTTCATGTTTTGAAAAGAGAAGTATTTAAAACAAATTCGCAATATTACTATATTTTCAATATTTTGGACCAAACAATTCAACGAGTAGTCGTCTAGAAAATAATAGCTTTTCGATTTCAGAAAATCTCGCGTGAGTTCGTGCTTGTCAACCTGTAAACAATATGGCGACTGAAACGCTGGACTAACATGTTTGAAAAAGACACCTACCAACTATCATAGTAACTACTGATTTATTACTGCTGACAATTTTATATATGTAAAAGTATGTCATTATGGAGTATCATGCTTATCATATCTATTCAAGATTTTTCCTCATCACTCGTTAATCACGATACAGAGTGCTTTGTATAAAATAAATAAAATCTAGAATTTGTCACACAAGTTTGAAAGCAAAAGCTTTCATAAAAACAGAATCAACTACATGCTTTCCATAACGTACCAATTTAAGAGTTCGCGTGAAATGTATATGCTAGTTCACAGACTTGTTATAAGACCAATGTGAGTTGGCTAATGGCTCATAAAATAACTGTTTCGTACGTATTTATGCTACATTTGTCGTCAAACTGGCAGAATTTAACAAAGACCATTCAAAATAAGTATGGCTAGTTGGAGCATGTTGCCTGTAGTAAATGGAACAAAATAGATAACATTATATTTTCATGACTGTGATTCAATTATTGAATTAATCTGTGACATAAGAGTACAAAAGAAACACTTGTAAGATTCTCAATATTTACTTGCTACAATTAATTATGTGCAATCGCAGTTTTACTCATGTTTACTCTTTCCAGACAATTAACTGGACCTTCTATGTGAGGTATGGCTGGAAGAGATCTCTACCCAACCCTGCCTGATGGGCGAGGCTCATTTCGAGTTGGTGCAAACAGGCGTGTTGAACTTTCATTACAAAAGGAATTGGATGATGTTGCTCACAGATCATTAGCAGAAATCTCCAGCAGGAAGGAGGCTGTCAGGCTTGCACCTCTCACCGATGATCAGATTACTGCAAAGTATGTTTTCCTTATCCCTAACTAAATTAGTTACTTAATTAACTGTATTTTGTTTGATAAAGACTTCCAGAAATGATTGCCATGGATATTGAAGGTGTCATTTTTCCTTTAACAAGTGAGCACCTCTGTCATTTAGTACAAAAAACTGGTTCATTGGCTTGGGCTCAGTATGCTGTGTCTGAGTGGGGTCTGCATGTTAATCTGAAGCATGGTATGTCAGTGGTCTGGCACTATAAAGATGGCATTAGCCCTGACTAGTATAGGCAGTCACACATACACATGCATGTATGCACATTTCGATATTACTGCAATAATCTTGGACAAGGTGTTCATCCCCATTTCACCTAACAAAATCTGAAACTAATCTTGGTCACTGGACTAAACGGTAATGGTCCTTATGTTTTGAAATGAAATTCACTGCATAAGATGTTGTTGTTTGGTGTTCCTGAAGGCTTTTGGTAATATTATTTTGATAGCTTGTTTTTTTTTGACATTATGATGAGAGGAATACTTTAGTTTAATTGACAACACCTGTGAAGATCCGGGTTAGAACTATCTTCAGTAACCCATGCTTGTCATAAAAGGCGACTAACGGGTGGTCAGGCTCGCTGACTTGGTTGACCCATGTCATCGTATCCCATTTGCCCAAATTGATGCTCATGCTGTTGATCACTGAATGGTGTGGTCCAGACTTGATTATTTACAGACCGCTGCCATATAGCTGGAATGTTGCTGAGTGCGGCATAAAATTAAACTCACTCAATAATTGACAATGACAACAACAATGTCTAATGTATTTTACACGGTTTTGTCTGCCAGTTAACTTATCATCCAACTGATCTAATTTTGTTGATCTTTGTTGCAGGAAACTTAAACCTGAATTCAAGCCACAGAAAGTTCGTGAAAAGAAAAAGACAGTGCCAGTCTTTCACGATGATCTGAAGCCAACCTCCTATACTAAGGTACATCCACTTAGTTATATCACCACAACATTCTGGCATTGACAAGAGGTGCTAGCAGTAGGAGATCCTCAGATTGGAATTACTAATATACTGCAGGGTTGTATATAAAAAAAGTTAATTCATCTGCAGTTGCCGAGTGTATCATGTCTCATAATATATATTAGATTTTCTTAAACATGTTCAAAAAGTGTGAATCAGGTGGCACTTGTTGTGTATTGATTGATTGATTGGTTCATTCATTATAAACGAAATGTTCAATATTTTCAAGATATCTGGGTACATTAAATGTCAGTGGATGTGATGTACACAAAGCTCAGATGTCAGCAGTACTTAGTATATCATGTTTATTGTGTATTTCATAAAGTAAAAAATGTTGTGAACACACTTGGCATTTGTCTTCATCTGTATGAAATTTCAATAGCTAGAGATGTTAAATGATGGCAAGTAATACGAGGGGACGTGACTGTTGTAAAGTTTTTAAAATTACACATCTAACCTTCCCAAGATTTATGTTTGAGTCTACACAATACAGCTAGCAACAAGACTTAATCGTGAATGATTGGTGTAATTTGATCAGACAACTATTTTAACATATGCCATTCAAAGCTGGTTAGGAATTTGGGTAAGAATTGATTCATGCTGAAGCATTTCTATACATAGATTTGGACCTAGAATTTAATAATGCTTTAACTTTCCAAATTATACAACAGTCAGTTGAAAAGAAGTAAAGTTGGGGGACATGATCTTAATTTGCAAATCAACCTGACTCTGGAACCTCTTTTAAAGCTGATTTCATATACTTTTATCAAAATTCATACTAGTTATTGGTAAGCAGGGCTTATTGTGGGCTATTGAAATATGCCAAATCACGACATGCACAATCACTCAGGACTTTGGATAGTCAGGACACTTCGCTACTCCTATATGTGTTTGTGTTCCTAGGAGCACTTCCAGCTGATTCCCAACATCCCTCCCTACAACCCCCTGGACAAGCAGCGCCACCCAGACGTCCCAGACAAGATGCGGAAGTTCCCCTATGCCAGGGAGCACACTGTTACTACAGCAGGTGAGGCAGGGATTTACTGATTTGTCAAGATTTGTGCCATCATCAAGCTCAGCAATCTCTCTTTAGTGTTTATTAATGTTAAAAGTTTCAGAACTGTCATCATCTTCTTCATCATCATCATCATCATCTTCTTCATCATCATCATCATCATCGTGAACATTACACTCAGCAATGTACTGTGTCTCGTTAATAATAAGGTTCAGATGAACCAGTGATTGATATTGTGGGCCTCACCTGAAGCCATCAGGTATGATGCGAACATTATACCATGTCACCCAGTCGGACCAACTGATACATTTCATCCCTCGGATGACACTCATTAGTTGATGGGAAATATTGTAACAATACCCACTGAGACCACTGGTAAGAGACCATTGTTATGTTACCACTTGAATGTGACTACTGGTATGTGACCACTGGTATGAGGCCATTGGTATGTGACCACTAGTATTGGACAATTGGTATGTGACCTCTGATATCAGACCATTGGTATGTGACTACTGGTATGTGACCACTAGTATTGGACAATTGGTATGTGACCTCTGATATCTGACCATTGGTATGTGACCACTGGTATGAGACCACTAGTATTGGACAATTGGTATGTGACCTCTGATATCTGACCATTGGTATGTGACCACTAGTATCGGACAATTGGTATGTGACCTCTGATATCTGACCATTGGTATGTGACCACTAGTAGTGGACAATTGGTATGTGACCTCTGATATCTGACCATTGGTATGTGACCACTGGTATGAGACCACTAGTAGTGGACAATTGGTATGTGACCTCTGATATCTGACCATTGGTATGTGCCCACTGGTATGAGACCACTAGTATTGGACAATTGGTATGTGACCTCTGATATCTGACCATTGGTATGTGACCACTGGTATGTGACCACTAGTATTGGACAATTGGTATGTGACCTCTGATATCTGACCATTGGTATGTGACCACTAGTATCGGACAATTGGTATGTGACCTCTGATATCTGACCATTGGTATGTGACCACTAGTAGTGGACAATTGGTATGTGACCTCTGATATCTGACCATTGGTATGTGACCACTGGTATGAGACCACTAGTATTGGACAATTGGTATGTGACCTCTGATATCTGACCATTGGTTTGTGACCACTGGTATGTGACCACTAGTATTGGACAATTGGTATGTGACCTCTGATATCTGACCATTGGTATGTGACCACTGGTATGAGACCACTAGTATTGGACAATTGGTATGTGACCTCTGATATGTACCCACTGGTTTTCGGGTTCCAGGCTTCTTTAATCTCTTCAACTTCAATCTCCTTGGTGTAGGTGTGACATTACTTACTGCAATGTAAATCTGTTATACCTACTCAATCACCGATGAATGGTATTTTTCAATACATGTTATTTTCTTCAGATTTGAAGAAAGCTCATGTGTCTTCAGTGGGAGTTGTACCAACAAGAGCAAGGTATTTTTTATTCAGATCTACACAAAACATTAACAATAAATTCATCATATGTCAGTTCAAATTAATTGTATATTGTATAGATTGACTTCCTAGTGTAACAGAGGTACTGGTGGCCAAGTCTCATCATAAGTACCTACATTACGTGTCACAGAGCTGCGTCCATTGGGCCAGAATCCCATAGCCGTGGGTTCGAATCCCAGTCAGGCCCAGTTCTGTTTCTATGGTTGTCTGCAGCATACCAGTGATTGTGGGTGTCATCAAAGTGGCAAACCTCTGATATCTGGTTCCCTTCAGGCTTTCCAGCCACATTAAACTGACATAACTGGAATATTGTTAAGAGGGGCATTAGATCCAACTCTCTCACTACTCCGACTGATAATGCCTTATTGTAGTCTCCAGAATGCGCCTCTTTGGTAACAGATCATAAACATGGATTTAGACTACACAGCTATGTGGAACTTTAACCACTAGTATGAGCCCTACAACATTGTTTTCAGCCTAGAAAGTTCAGCTAATAGTATAATATTCAAAATACTCAAAATACTCAAAATATTTGTTACTACAACAGTCTCAAATTTTGTCCCAAACTTAATGTTTTGGAATTTTATATGCCATTCTAAATATTTGTATATGAATTGTCTTTAACAGTGCAAACTTGGCTGATCTGAAAGTACTTTTGAAAGGTGCCCCAGCTGCAGCCAGTGTCTTGCAAGGGGAGATAACTCTGTTAGAAATGGAGCAGGTAAGTTCAGTCCTGTTGACAAAACTTAAGAAAAATGCTGACTCAACACATGGTTTTTAGAATAGTAGGCATTTCCATAGAACATGGTACTACAGTTGGCTGACATTCAGATTACAAGGGATTTGTGCTATACATGTATTCATCAGTGTGCCACACCAGCCAAAACCTGCACTGTTGCCCATGACCATCCTTCTACCCCTACTGTTGTTATAGACTGTAATAATTCTGCAGATCCATATGTTCTATTTCTGGGATGACTTACATCCTGGTTTGTACAACTGTCATCTTAGATGTCAGTGATGTAACAGGAAGGAATCTTGGCTGGAGCCAATATCAATTTGTCTAAAAGCGGGCAAGCAGAATTTCAGGGGGTTTTTTCAGAGGGATGTCAACATGGTAACACTATTTAATCAATTACATGTTCGGATTAATTTGCATCTTGATGTCAATTTAATATTTATTATTTTTCCTTATCCTGACTCATGCTTAATATGCTTGTCTCCTCTATGCGAATGATAGTGGAACACTTGAAATCCCTTGTAGTTCCCTTGAAGAGGACGTAAAAGAACTCTCACCCACGAGTTGCCTCCCTTGCATACTCTCCTGCCAAAACAGTCACATGACTAACCATGCTTGTCACTCTCTCCTCCATGGATGGTTGTTCGAACTTGGGAGTCCCTATACGGCACTATATCCTTTTGTTTTTTTATCCCTTAGCCTAAATTTTGCTGTGTACGGTTTTCGGTCTGCATTATTATTCATTGTATATATTATGTGAAATTATTTGCAAAATAATGTTGTTTTCATCGCTTGTAGTTTTTGTATACATTTGATGAAATCGTGTTCTCAGTGTAGACACCAGCTGTCTGCGGCTGATCCGCACCCAATATGTCCTTCTTGTACAAATGAATGCTCTTCCATCTCTCGCTGCAAATATTGTGCTGATTTATCTATGTTGCAATTTAATAATTATTTGTTAACTTTATTTAGACGTATTAAGGACAAAGTGCGGAGGTTGTCTCAAGTCATGGCTGATAAATCAAGAGATAACGTGAGTAACCATGTGTTGCAAACTACAGCTGAAACTAATGTTTCTAGTGATTTGCCAATTTCGTCGCAGGGACATGCCTCTATCCTGGTAGATAGGTCTGCATCTAAGAAGAGGGCATCTTCATCAGAGCTGTCGTCATCGCAGACTAAGAAGCAGAAGTCGTCTTCAACTGGGTTGCAGAAGAAGAAGACGTCAGCGTCGAAACCTTCTTCGAAGTCATCCGATGCTAGTAAGACTGCGCATCAGAAGTCCTTCCATGAAGAGATAGTACCACCTGCAGAAGCAGACATTTTTGATGACCCTCCTATTTTGCTGCCAGAAGTCACAGTTGTTAGCAGATCGTCGCAACGACCGTCTTCAACTAGAACTTCATCTTCGGCATCCTCGTCAGCGCATCAGACAACTAGAGACTTCCCATCAGCTACACAGACATCTGGTATTACAGGAAGCAGCAGTGTCTCTTCGCCGCAGCTACAACAGAGACTAGAAGAGGATTCAACATTCTCGAATGCTTCATCAACTCCGCAACAGTTTCAGCAGTCAGCGCAGAACCTCTACCCAGGAGCGTTCATGAAGCAGTTCACGCAACAGATGCTGTCTCTGATGGATCGTCGGTTCGCCGAAGAGACAGCATTGCAGCAGTCTTCTATGCCAGCAGTTTCCAGACAGGAACCCTCTCCAGAAAACTCGGCAGTCGCAGATCATCGGTTGACGAATTCTGCTACGAGTCAGGAACGTCAACATGCGAGAAGGTCCTCTCTCACAGAAGAATCTACTGTCTGCAATCGTGAAGGTTCAGAGAACGTCATTGAAGAGAATGCAGTTCGAGAACATCACCGTTCCAGTTCAAGAGGATCCCCATCGAGGCGCGAACACTTCCAATTCAAGAGGTGCGAGAGATTCCCTTCATCGCCCAGCCGGGAATACAAGATTCGCCTCTGGGAGAGGACGTGCTCCCAGAGGTTCAAGAGAGACCAGAAGTTGAAGATGGGGTTCGGAACGACTGGAGTCTTCCATCCCCAGCCGTCGACAGTGGGTGGACATCTACAACAACTAACTTCTCAAACCCGAAAGGTTCAAGATGATTCATCTTCCACAACTCCGAGGTCTCGTTCATCCAGCAGATTACGTAGCCAGCATAGACCTTCAGGATGCGTATCTTCACATTCCTATACATCAGGACTCAAGAAAGTATCTACGATTCCTGTTCAAAGGTCAACACTTCCAGTGGAAAGTCCTGCCGTTTGGAATATCTTCGGCCTCATGGTTGTTTACACGAGTGACCAAGCCCATCGTCGCCTTTCTACATCATCAAGGTCTACGCAGTGCTTTTTATCTGGACGACAGAATACAAGTTCATCAGGAAGCCAGCCAACTCAAGCTACAGCTGGACTTCACCATCAGACTGCTCACTCAGCTAGAATGGCTAGTGAATCTACTGAAGTCAGATTGGAACCCAAACGAGATCTACAATTTCTAGGAATAAGGTTCGTCACAACAGAGAATCGCATCATGGTCCCAGAAGATCGTTGGATCAAGATACAAGCCATGATCCCACAAGCAGTCATCTCTCCGCTGAAGCTCCGAACATGGCAGTGTCTTCTGGGTTTACTCACCTCAGCGCAAGATTTGACCCGCAGAGGAATTTACAGTTGCGGCCACTACAGCGATTTGTGAATGCCCATCTCAACAGTACAGAGCTGATAACCCTGCCGGAAAGTCTACAGCTGTACCTGTTATGGTGGACTTACAGGTCGAATGTTTGCAGAGGAACCTATTTAAATGAGCCGGCTTGCAACACTCATCTCTACGTGGATGCGTCTCTACAAGGTTGGGGAGCACACCTCGGGAACAAGATAGCTGCAGGAAAGTGGTCAAGAAGATAACAATTTCTTCACATCAATCTACTGGAAATGAAAGCAGTGATCAACGCCTTACAACATTGGTCGAGCTTCCTGATCAACAAAATATTGACAGTGCACACGGACAATTCCACAGTGCCATTTTACATCAACAGACAAGGCTCAACAAGATCCTCAAACCTGTTACAGTTCGTGTTCCAACTGTTCGACATAGTGGACAATTTGAACATTTGGATAAAGGCGTGTCACATTCCCGGAGCTAAGAATATCCTGGCAGATGCTCTATCTCGCTCGCAGCAACCATCCCCGACAGAATGGATGCTTCACCCGGAGGCATTTCGGCTCATCATACAAACGTTAGGATCTCAGCTCATAGATCTGTTCACCACAAATTCAACAAACAGATACAAACATTCGTCTCACCAGACACTCTGAACGTATCTTTGGAAGGACTGAACGCTTACGCGTTCCCACCTCCGGATCTACTTTCTCAAGTACTCCAGAAAATCAAGCAGACGACAACCCTGCAACTGATTTTGGTCGCGTCCTACTGGCCAGCAAGAGTATGGTTTCCAGACCTCATTCAAGAACTCGGAAATCCAACCCTGAAACTACCAGAGTGGCCGAACCTGCTCGTTCATCCACACACCAAGCAAGCTCACAGGAACCTGTCAATGTTCCATCTTCAGGCATGGACAGTATCAAGACTTGCTTGAAAAAGAGAGAATATTCCTCCAGAGCAGCGAAAGCAGTCACCTTAGCTCTTCGCAGATCAACTCGTTACTTGTATGTTGACAAGTGGCAGAAATTTGAACTTTATGCACAACGAAAAGGCTTCACAGCAATGAAAGCATCTCATCCTCAAGTGGCAGATTATCTGTGTCATCTGAGACAGACGAGGAGATTAAAAGGTTCGACCCTATCCACATATTTGGTGGCGATTAGCACAGTCCTCACAATGAAGACAGGCATCAAGCTAACGAAAGTACCAGAACTACTTGCGTTATTACGCTCCTGCTGGAAGATCAGCAACAGAAATTTTAAGGCACCTGCGTTGGATCTTAATGTAGTATTACATCTTACCAGTGATGCTTATGAACCTTTGGAGTAAACGACTTTCGAACTACTTAGACAGAAAACTCTGTTCCTACTTGCCTTAGCCACGGCAGCTCGAGTGTCAGAGATTTTGGACAAATTCGTTTTGATACTGGACATCATGCCACAGCACATCTAGGACTTAGATGGGACTTTGTAGCAAGGAATCAGTTACCTGGTCAACCAGATAGACAGTTTCATGTGCCAGCGTTATCAACGATTCTCGGGCCAGAGGATTTATAATATTTAACTTTATGCCCAGTCAGAGCATTGAAGATTTACCTGAACCAGACGAGGATAAGGAGACGGAAATTCAAACGCCTATTCATTCCTTTGTCTACAAAGACATCTACAGAAGTTTCAAGAATAACAGTATCAGTATGGATGAGAGCCGTTATACTAAGGGCTTACAAAGCAGCAGGACTTCAACCTCCACAAGCATCCAACCCACATGAAGTTAGAGCACTGGCGTCTACACTTGCTCTGCACGGGAATTGCTCGATCTCATTGATAATGGAGGGCTGCTTTTGGAAATCAGATACAGTGTTTGCGAACCAGTACTTGAGAGATATTGCTACTGAAGATGTCTTTGGCATTCTCCAGTTCGGCCCACTTGTTGTAGCACAACAACTAACGGTTCCGCAGAGGCGTTGAATTGGAATCTCACCCTTTTTTATCACATGACTTAATGATACCTTCACTCTGAAGAGTTTTGGTTGGGAGTCCATACGTACGTCTAGAGCAGGCTAGCATGAGTAATTTAGACCCTGTCCTTGTACAGGAAATACTCGTACGTGGAAAGGGTCGCAACTATTATGATTAAGCAGATATCATAATACATGGGTTGCTATAGATATTAGTAAGACATACAACTATATCTTAAATTCACATGAATCTGTTAGATTCACTTGTCTTAAAGAAGTCTGACTAGATGTGGTCCCCCTGAGTTGACAGATGAAAGTTGGAAGAACAGGATCATTAGTAGTGCCGTTATATAGTTCCCATGGGGGGAGATACAGGACGTATCTAGGACAGTCGATAAATCCAATGTTGTGGCCTGACCCACCACCAATCCGTCGGATTCTGGAAGCATGTTAAGCATGAGTCTTGATAAGGAAAATTATGTAATTTTTCATCCATGACTTGAGACAACCTCTGCACTTTGTCCTTAGTACGTCTAAATAATGCTAACAAATAATTATTAAAGTTGCAGCATAGATAAATCAGCACAATATTTGCAGCGAGAGCTGGAAGAGCATTCATTAGTACAAGAAGGACATGGGGGCTGCGGATCAGCCCCAGACAGCTGGAGTCTACACTGAGAACACGATTTCATCAAATGTAAACAAAAAATACAAGTGATGAAAACAACATTATTTTGCAAATAATTTCACATAATAGGTATATACAATGAATAATAATACAGACCGAAAACCGTATACAGCAAAATTTAGGCAAAGGGATAAAAAACAAAAGGATATAGTGCCGTATAGGGACTCCCAAGTTTGAACAACCATCCACCAGGACGATGGCGGAGAGAGTGACAAGCACAGTTAGTCATGTGACTGTTTTGGCAGGAGAGTATGCAAGGGAGGCAACTCTTGGGTGAGTGTTCTTTTACGTCCTCTTCAAGGGAACTACAAGGGATTTCAAGTGTTCCACTATCATTCGCATAGAAGGAGGAGACAAGTATATTAAGCATGAGTCAGGATAAGTATAAAATATTAATTTTACTGACAAAATTACATAATTTATTCAATATTTACCTCTCCAGGCCAACCAGGCTGAACCTGCCACGCCCCCTCCCCCCTCGACAGACATCCCTCGCATTGTTCTGAATGACAAGATCTACCGTCTAGAAGAAGACACCAAGGCAGAGGCCGAGAAGAAGAAACCTGCCATCTTGTCCCAGACTGGCAACATACAAAACGTCATGTTCAGTGAGAGACAGAAGCCACCACCTCGACCATCCTACCTGAACAAACGCAAGAAGAGTTCTCGGCGGAATGTCGTCAGCCCAGGTACAACAGTTCTTTTGCTTGAGAGAATAACTTTTAAAGAACAGTGTAATTCTGTCTGAGCAAATTGAAAGTACGGAGTTGCATGCATATATAATGGAGGAATCCTTCAAATATTTTCCACTGTTCTTCCAAAAATGGAATTGCTTTTGAAACACATATCTGTAAATAATGTTAGTAACATATCTGAGGTGGGGTGAGGGGCTCAGAATATTTTTTGTAAATATCAGTCAATATCCAAAGATATAGACCCATCTGAAACCCTGTACAGAGAAGTCCAGCAAGTTTTCAAAGTGTGATCCTACTTTACATGATTAGCTTGCACTGACAGTGATTAAGAATTGCTGTATTTATATGAATGTGTATCTGAGATGTGATTCATATTAAAGCATTAGCTTTGACTGATGTGATGTGATGCCGTTTTAGTTTTCTAACAAATGAGAAAAACATGTTCCTGTATGGATGGATGTAAACATTTACATATTCAAATCATATTCGCATTTTCTGACTTTTGTCACTTTTTGACAATTTCATTAATGTAACTGTCATTTAAATATGATTGTCGTAGCTTTAGACATGTGATGTTTTGTCAATTGCTAGTTGGAGAGGATACTGAACCGAGTCGACTGAAGAGTGCCCGAAGCATCCCGTCATCCCTGCAGAGTGCCCCGATCAGCTTGCCAGATGATGCAGTTTACAGCAAGTACGACAAGGCCATTGAGGATATGGACATCGATATGGACAATGTAGAGACTGCAGTTGGTGTGTCTGATGCTGTACTCAAGAGCAGAGCTTCTAGTGTAGGTTGTCTACCATGTATTTATATAGCAGATGGTATTTACAGGTCACTGCTGGTCTATGCTCGGAGTGAATCTAAATTGTTTAATCTAACTTTTAAAGGTGAAAATTATGGGCTCCCCTTTATGTATTGTGTTGTGATGATAGCACTCACTGGTGGCCACTCAGGGATAAATACAAATATATAAAACTAATGATCAGTGTGTCTGAACCAAATTTCTGTTAATATTCCAAAATAGGATTTGAACATTCCCAATTAATCCTAAATAGTGTGAAGACTCCTTTCCCCTTCCCTTATCATTACTTGCACATGTTCTCTCTCCTCAGAAATCACCAGCTCATCTTCTGATTAACATTCGCATTCCATGATAACTCAAATCTGTTTTATCAAGGGCTCTCTACTAATGTCAAACCTTGCAGGTGAAGTCTGTCCAAGACCTCCTGGAAGAGGCCAAGAAGATCAGTAGTCCTGACTCCGACCCCCTGTACAAGCAGCAACATGTCAAGTCAGCAGACAGCAAGAAACTGGGGAGCCCCACCCCGCGCAGATCACGTAGCAGCAGGAAGGAGACACGCAAGAGTGCTGGGAAAGGTTAGATTCTTGTCTCCTGGTGATTGTGTGGAAATAAGGTTCTTGTTGACGTTTTTCCAGATTTGAATTGCACCTTGTTTCAAGGGTTGTTGAGTGATCAGGCAGCAATATGGTTAAAGTGTTTGATTATCATGCTGAAAACTCTGGTTATGTCACAGGTGAGAAGAGCAAAGGGAAGCTATCAGCAAGAGATACAGAGGAAGAAAGTGGAGGAACGTCCAGGCCTCGGTCCGAGCGGTCAGTGGATGAGATCATCTCCTCCCTCAGGGACCAGTCCAGGACAGGAATGTGAGTTAGACACAGGATGTTTTTCTATTTTGTGATTCAGGCTTGTGCATAACTTTAAATTCCTGTTATTGAAGTAATAGATGACATTATCAATCCATATATCCATTATTATCCGTTATCATATACCACATTAATGTAATAGTGCCCTCAAAGTTGGGTGCTTATTTAAATCATACACAATTAGTTACACTTGATTACAGACATTGATCAGTAGTTAACTAACTTAGGTCATTTAATGATCAAACTATTTTCTGTAGTCACAGTTTTATGTACACGTAAAAATATGGGCTGTCATGTAAATCTTCGGGTCTTGAATGGTTGTGCTCAGCATGGCAAATGCACTGTGTATGGACATGGAGTTCTAATGTGTATGCTGTGCAGAGTTGGGTTCTGAGACAGGATCAGCTGGGGTATGAATCCCAAATTATTATCCTTTAGTTGACAGTGACATACCTATGCCTCTGGTTTCATCCTCATTAATATCACATCATTATTTCTGGATCGATACCTCTCTCTATGGACATTGGAGACCCCACTCCACAGAAAGCATCTGATTGAACACTGGGTGAATTCATGAGACAATCAGTGTCCACTTTCTTATATGATTTTATCAATGTTTTAAGTACTTTAAAAAATGTGCAAATTTTTAAGTTTAACAGTAAAAAGGAACACAACTATTTCTTCAGTGCTGCTCTTTCATTTGGATGTAGGTCACACAGCAGAACTGAACATTTTCTCGTTTAGTGTGATGCAGAAACAAAATCTTCTGGTCTGAACGATTTTTACTCACTTTTTGAAGTCTCCAATCCTGTCAGAGTAGAAGGTTCACCTGACAGGATCAGAGGTAGAGAGAGGCAGGAGGTATCACTAGAGTAGAAGGTTCGGGACAGGATCAGAGGTAGAGAGAGGCCGGGAGGTATCACTTGAGTACAAGGTTCAGTTTCACTGTGATTTCTTGTGTGTTTTCAAGTGGCAAACTCTCTAGTTACCTCACTCTCGCGTCAAGAGATGTTAATCCTACTTGTACAGTTTGTGATGTGATTTCAGTGTGTCGGATGCTGACCGGAGGATCCAGGAGATCATGGACAGAGTGATGTCTCGGGCCAGTGCTGTACTGAGTGATATAGGTACAAACTGACCACAGCAATCTTAGTGAATATCAATATGTTAAAGTATATATGCATTATGAACATCTTAGTGGTAAGATGGTTCAGTGGAACAAGACCCTAGCACCTATGTTACAAAGATGTCTTTGCACTCTGATGGCCTAACCATGAGAGCTAAAAATCATAGTGCTAACATACGTGTGTAAATCAGACCCGTGGTATTTAATAGAACGTTATCTGGTTTATGGTATAGAGAAATAAGTTTTGCAAGACACAATGAATGTTTATTTAAAATGATTTCATTATATTAGTTCCATTTCATCCATTGACTGATAATAGATGGATTGATACTAAAACAAATTTGGAAATAATGCAAATTTCTAACTTGATCTAGATATGAAATATTTATCTAGATATGAAACACTCTTCTAAAAGAAATTGATATTTTGTGGAATTTCACAGTTCGTATGTTGTTGCAAATTTTTATTGCATAGTCAGGGTTAAGCACAAAAATGGGAATCACTGAAGGCTTGTATTTTGTAGTCTTGGCTTCTTGTCCAATTTCTAGTTTCCCCCAGCCTCCCCACCCTGAAATGTGACCTCTCCCTTTATACTTTTATAATGTTATACAGTACCATAAAAGTAATTGTGAGACTCATATTTCGTTTGTGCACTGGATTCCCACATTTTGCACATGACATACTCTTCAATGAACCTCATCCATAAAGACATGTCATTCCTAATGCTCTTCAATGTATATCAAATTATCACGTAAACCAAAACCAGGTCCATTCAGATGACAAATCAAACTTGATAAAGAGGTACATGAGTCAAGTATTTTATGGATTTGTAAGCTAATATAAAAATAGGATAATTGATATTATCCTCTCTCCATACCCAGTCCATTTTGAAACAAATTAAAAACAACCAGGTTTACTTTGCTGGCCTAATCAATCTGATGTATTTATTGCAGGCGTGAATGAAGCAAGTGATAGCCCTGAAGTTCATCGAGGTCAGTTCAACCTTACATTTTGTTTAAACTCTCTTTTTGGATTGAAATGGCTGCCTTCTCTATAAATTCAAGAACATTTTTCTGTCTGCACTTCCACATCATTCACTGTTGTGGAATACAATCTGTTTCCTTTTTGATATTTGTTATTTCATTTTTTGTTACAGAGGCACATTTGAGTGAGTCGTTATTATGTATGACTTTAGATATAAACTTTGCAATATAGCCAGATGGTACCATTGTAGAAGCCATAATTAGTCAGTCATCAGATAATACAGGTAGTTAGTTAGTATGGGGACAGATGGTCTGGAGACAATCCAGGGGCATATCGAGAGAGAGAGAAAGAGAGATGTGTGTGTGTGGTTGCAGTGCAGGGTATGCACCCCCATCTCCCCTGAAAAATATTTCCCTCAGGGCATTTCTCCCAAACCTTTGGACTTCATGATGTGTGTGCAACCGCTTCTCCAAAATCCTGGATCCACCCTGGGGTCCATCTGATGATACATTCAGCTCATAGAGGGTGCAGATTCTTTTGCAGGTAGTGATAATTTCGAACAGTTATTATGCTGTTGAAATGTTTAAAGGAGCTGAAGTTTGAGTCATTCAATGTTAAAATGAGCTGGATATAACTTTACAGACTTAGTCCCCCCCAATGATAAACATCTAGTCCTACTTGCACAGAGCAGTCTTAGTGACCGCTGTAACCTATAAAGTATAGAGCTATCAGAGTAGATTTAATAGATTAATAGATAGATCTATAGTCACACTAAGAATTCTAGCTATCATAGGTTGTTAGTATCCTTTCTTGGTTTTGAACTGACTAAAAGGGAGGTTTGTGGTCACTGATTCCAAAAGCCACAAATTATGACTAGTACCAAGATTGTTGACCGGGAGATACCAGTTTCAGTGAAGTGTCCACTGACAACATTGATTGTTTCTGATGGAATCGGTTGTGAGAATAATTCCCCAGCAAGCAATGCTCTTTTTTAAGGGGGGATTAAATGGATCAGGAAATCAAGCTGACTTGGTTGATTGAATGCCACCTTACCCTGGCAGCATGAACTGGTGTTCATAACATCAATCACTGGTTTGTCCAGTCCAGACTCATTTATCCGATCTGTAGGCTGCTTTAATGCAGTGTGAATACCACTAAGTGCAGCATTAACCTATACACAAGTGAATAAATACTCTGATCACAATTGTTGCTCTTACTATTGACCACTGGTTTCTCTTGGCCATTATGGATTCTTTCACTGGCCAATAATTTAATATTACTAACTGTTGCATGAAACAATATTTTCTCAGTTTGCATTTTCTGATACAGACATATTATGCTAAAGATAGCTTTGCAAAATAGGTCGAGCATAATTTAGTGTGTCATACCCCTTTGAGTTTAGTTTTGATTTTTTATTTGATTATAGAAATATTTCACTTTGTTTCAGTGTAGTAGGTGTTTATTTCATCTCTTTCCTATAGCTAGATGTTCTTCAGTTGCTTGTCTCTGTGTGTTTATTGTGCTACGTAACCCTAGATGGAGATGCTGATAACACAAGGGAGGTAACTCCTCAAACTGGCGACGAGACTTCACCTTCTGTTCCGACTCCTGACACTGATGTCACTCTAGACGCAGATGACCCTGGTATACTTGATCTCTTTCTCTATCACACGTCATACAGTCTCGATGATCCAGTGTATCACATCTCCTTTCTATACCTTGGACCCTGGAGCCACAATTGTGGGTCCGGGTGGAATGACACGAACCACAATCAACTTACATAATTGAAACAAGCAGATATATCATTAAAACTTTTGTGTACTGTCTCCAATGCAGCGTGTATTATACAGACATAACTCCCTGTGTTAATACTTACGTATATATATTTTCTAGCTTAACATTTTTATAGAAGTCTTTTGATTCAGTTAAATGCATCAAGGGCCTGCTTGGAGGAGACTGAAATTCTGAATTTAGATCTGTGCTGAACTTGTTTTTTGGGAGATGAATTTTGATTGGAAATTCATTTCATGCTTATATGGAAGAGAATATCCATGCTAAGTATCTTGAATGACAGTTTGTGACGTCACTTCTGAACATAAGCCATGCTGGCAAATGTGTCCAGGGTGTTTATTATAATAGAATGGAGATTTAACACACTGGGTAATTGAGTATGCATGTCATATGCCTGCTTTATTTGATGTAAAATTGAAAATAATATTTGTTGTGTTTTGATGCATGTTTTTTACTACTTACAGGATAATATTGTCTCTTATTGCTTTATGATTAAAAATAGCCATCATATTTATATCACGGATCAAATATATAATTAACATTTATTCTGTAATACATCATCAAGTAATTTACTCATTATAGTCATTATCACAATTATAGGTCTAATTCCAAAGATCCCTCAGTTGAGTTTTATTTGTGAGTCTTATATTATATCTTTTATTATCGACTGGATAAGGTTTTTTGGTATAAGGATATATTTGTACATGTATACTTTTCATTTTCTCATAGCTGCTACCCAGTAACAATTTACATTTTATTGAACCAATTTTCTTGATTTTGACTGAAAACTCTCTGCTCTGTAAACATGCTAACAACAATTTACCATTATTGCCCCAAATCCTGAAATAAATCCAAGCAGGATGCTGAGTCAAGTACCCAATGCTTATCGTGAGAGATGAATGCAATGGGGATTAGATGGTCACGTCATCAGAGTATGGATAGTAATAGGCATGTGACTACAAGGGAACACCTGCTTTGATCGGTGATCTATCTGCTACCGAGTATCATTGTATCCTGTGCAGCACAAACTCACACTATCCATGATGATTTATGTTTTTCTGAAACAAGTACTTTGTAGATGTTGGGATATGGCTGTAAATATTTTTACTTAGAAAATTAAACACCATTAACTTTTAAACAATATGTCCATCATTTCATTTTAATATGTCATTTTTATCTATTCTAACCAAAGGTTGTAACAAACGGTAGTGCTGATATATTCATTGTGCAGTATATGCAAAGTTGTGTCCCTTATCAATCAGGATCTGCTGTTTGTGCTTTTAAATCCTGTTTGTTCCACTTATCATGGGTTTGAATCCCAGATTAACTATGTTTGTGATCCTTGATCTAGCATCTCAGGAATCATATTGGGTGGACGTTTAAACAAAGTGGCCTATGGCCTGCTTAAGTTTGGGTCTCATCAGCGAATGAAATAAGCCAAAATTCCAGCCTGACATCAGGGCTGGTAACTTCAAAATGTTACCAGCCCAAAATGGATTTAACCAGACCAAATATGGTGATTTTACTCAGATGTATGGAACATATAAAAAAATTACCAGACCATCGGGCTGGCTAGGTGTAAATTTAGACCATCCGTCAGAAATCTAGCCTGTCTCGGTCGGTCGGACAGGCCTTATTTCATACACTGGTCTCATCCCGCATTACACTGACACTGTAATAACTCAGATACTGTTAAGAACATCACTGGTTACAGCTACTTCCATGATTCCATTTTTCGATTTGACTTGATTTTGTTTTCTTTCACTCACTAATCCTGTGTAATTTAGAAAGGTTTTAACATTGACAACAGTATGATTGTTCCATCTGTTCAATATTTCTACATATCATATGATAACTAATAAATTCATATTCATCTGCTAAAATGAATACCTGTGAGTGTCAGGTAGAGAAGAATGTTTAGAAAAAATTACATGTTTTATCCCTTGATATGAATGTATGATAACCATATCTATTATGTATTTAAATACTAGATCTGTATTTTTAAAAAGTTAAACGTTCCTTGAGTTAAATACATTAATATAATTTTCATTCAGCAGTATTGTAAACTGTTTTTCCACAGTCAACTCATGTATCATGTGATGTGTATCACCTAGTCTGTGTATCTCTGTTAGACCGAGTGAAGGGAGATCTTAGTGTACCTGACCGTATCCCAGAAGAGGAAGAAGTACCTGAAGGTAGGGTGGATGTGGGAATGAATGGACCTGGCTTCTGTCTCCATCTGTAATCTAAGGACCACAGATTCCAGCTGTTACGATCTTTTTGGAATCATTGCAATATTTTGCGCAAATTTTGCATTCATCCAGTATAGTGATACATATTATGAACTTCCAACAAAAATGTCTCCAGTGACAAAGCTTTTTGTAATATAATGCATTGTTTCAGTCTTTGATGTCAGAAATTATAATGTGTTTGAAGATTGAGTTGCAGGCTGATGCTTTCCAGCCATTATTGCTTCAGCTGTGTAATAATTCTGTTGTAGATACATCTAGTGCTCAAGTCATGGAGCAGGTGAGTGTCATTGTGCTGGATCAAACTGTGTTTATTTCAGTGTTCACAATTTAGCTACTTACCTATTAGTAATATTTTTCACAGTTATACATTTTTTTTATTTTAATTTTTACAAAAAATATTTTTTGTGTGGGGGGATATTTCTGATCATGTGGTAAAATAAGTAAGTCCTCAAGGCGAGTCAGTAACCAGTATTCTCTTGTGTGAAGAGACACTTGGCTCTCTATATAAAGGTGTTTGCTACAGTCAGAGATCCATTTATACTATCATCATACATATTAAATGCCAGGTTTTGTTGGTGTAATGGGCTCAACAGTAATTTAAAAGAACCCTGAAAGAATCTGTAAAGGTTACTTTGAACAGCTTGATGTGAAATTCAACAGACTTGTGACTCACACCATTATTGTGCTAAAGATGTTTTAATGCAAAATGTAGACTATGATTTGAATATTTCTCAATATGCCCAACAAAACTTACAAAGAAAGAGTCGTCCAGCCTTGATTGTATTAACAGTAGCTTGTCAAACAAGTTTTGATGTTTGTGTGTATGATCTGTGTCTATATTTCAGACCCTGCCACCCCCAGTCATCCCTGATGTTCCCCCACCCACAAGGACGACTGCTTCCACATGGGATGGCACCACCGAGGTGGACGAGGAGGAGGAAGAGGAGGCTAGGCTAGAGGAAGAACAAGCAGCAGATGTTGGAGTTGATATTCGCCAGGTAGGAGTCAGTCAAAATTGTCTAATATTGACCAGGGGATCCTTTCATGAAGCAACCTTTACTAAGGTTAACCTTAACTCCCATTCTTTAACATTGCACAAAGATTACCTAAGTGACTTATGATCAACTTAGTTCTTTGTGAAAGGAGGCCCAGAAGAGTAGAAAGTTCTTGTGTATCCTTAGTAATATCTCTCTGATATTTACATATAAATTGTACAAAGTTTCAGTGCTGTTCAGTTATTTGAAGCTATGTGACATTGTGTCATCATGTCCTGGAGTCCTGGATCATGATGTCTCTGCCGAAGGGTCGGTTGAGTTTCCGTCGGCGTCGAGTCGGCATTCCCATTGTTTCCGGAACATAACTCTAAAACTACTTGAACAATCTTCACCATATTCCATATCATGTAGATATGCCTTTTGGGGGTTTGATTTTTTTTTTTTTTCATTTATTTTTTTCTGTTTTCATGGCAACACTTTGCCTCTATACTGCCTCTCCATATCATGTAGATGTGATTTTTGGGGGTTTGTTTTTCAGCATTTGTTTAAATTTTTATTGACTAGAGAACTCTGTGATTGAAAAACAACAGATTCATTCATGCATTACGAAATATACTGGACAAGAAGGAATCAAATGAATTGTGGAGACATCTGTTTTTACAAGTAAAAACACTTTTTAGTAGTTCCTGTTGCATTCAGGCACAAGTTTACCTGCTCCACATCATTATCAATTCTAATTCAACTTAGTATGTAACATGAGTTCTGATTGGTCAATGCTATTCATTTCCAACCGTATAATCAGCATATACGGTCGCAATTTGAAACCCTATTCACCAAAACCTTTGAATGTATCCCTACACTATTTGGGGTAACACTGTTTTTCAGGGCATTGTCATTTGCAGAAGCCCTGGGTCAGTTTAACTCCCTTATCATGCTAAAATGGATGGAATTTGTGTTAAAAAAAGACAAAACAGTATCATAAATTGAATTGTAAGTTCAAACAACTTACTCGCAACGGGCTGTTGACCCAACACTGTTAGATCATGAAACAAGATTAATGACTTCATTATGGAGCGTGACGTCACCTGCTTACTCGTGGCCGATATAACTAAATTTGCAGCTATATAACCACCGGTATACGTCCCCAATTCGTCAAACACAGTACAGTTATCCCCTAATTATCAACAGGAGATCATGCTATAGCAGTATTTTTTAGCAAAACAACTCCCTCACTATTGTCTCCCCTAGGCATATGAGGATCTGCTCGCCCCACCCACAGCCACATACGAGGACCTGGTGAAGGTGGAGGGTACACAGAAGGAACTGCAGGACCGACAGATCCCCACCCCCTTCACCGGACCACGCCTCCCTGTCTACTCCACCTCTGTGTCCTTCCTTTCATCATGGGCCCCCACGACAGAAAGGAAGTATATGCCGACAGCTGAGAAAGAAGATGATGGAGGGAAGAAGAGCATCCATCACTTTTGTAAGATGACATCCGAGTTCCAGCTCCCTAAACATTTCCAGAACATTGGCCGGAAGTACCACACACCAGATCAGTTTTCATCATCGTTCCCAGTTCAGCCATACAGGGTGAGTTAATGCAGTTATGAGAAAGTACTTTTCTGCAGGTGACTCAATACTTTTTTTAATTTATTTTTTTAAATTGTTTTATTTTTTTTTACAAACAATACAGTTACTCATCACCATGATTTTATGGATAGGTCATTTTGGCTAATGATTCAAATAATATTACTCATATAAAACATAAGCTTTATTTCAAAATGACTAATTGCCTTCACCTTTTTTTCATTCTTATTTTCCAGCCAGCAGAAAATGCATATGAACTTAATGTTAACCATGGTAACACAACTTAGGAAAGGAATTGCATTGATAGCCATAGAATTCATACCATTAAATACAGAAAAACAGATTTATTGATTGCATTGAAAATAATCCATTTTTCACACACCACTTGTTGTTTGTCTGTGTTACTTTACATAGCCTTAGGAACTGTTCATAATTTATGGGTAGGGGAGTGATGATGACTTTAAGGAGAAGCATGTACAATGTGAATCTGTGACCCTTGCATACTATGTACAAACTCAATGACCCCCAGTTCAAATGTACAAAATTGATCACACATCCCCCCTCCCACACCTACCGAGAACAAAATGGGTGAAACCACCACCCCCATCCACACACACACCACCACACCCCTCCCCCCATCCCATAAAATAATCATCATCCCAAAGCCATAACTTGTGAATGGTTACTCTGGAAATACCCAGTGAAGGTCATTGTCGTAGGAAGTCATGGCAGTCAGTGTGTATGATTTCATGTTAGAGTGATTCAGTGTCTGGTGGATGTTACCTTCAAACCGAGCATGTCTTCTGTGTTGTCCAGTTTGGTGCGATGGGTCCTTCAGTACCGGCTACAGACACTATAGAGGAGGAGTCTGTGGAGGAGGATGAGGCTGACCGGATGTCAGTCATCGCCCAGCGGGTCATTGATGAAGCAGGTCAGGTGGGGTCAGAGGACACGCTGGAGGCGTGGCAGCAGAGGGCGGAGGAAGTGGTACGAACATCTTGATTTTGTTAATCGTTTTTACGTAGGGATTACTTTACTTTATTCTAAGGATATGAAGCTAAAACATTAAACCTGAATGAATGAATAAATTCTATAAACCTGTAATTTAAACACATTCTGTGTTTTTACTGATCGAAAACGTTAATAAACTGATATATTTTCAATTCAAAACAATTTTACCCGTAATAGAGCACACTTGTACTAGTTCAGTGCATAATTTCAAATTGCAGAATCGGAAAATGTTTCCATTTTACTGGCACCCATTAGGTTTTCCTACATACATAGTGCTCACATACATGAGTTTCATAGCGCTCACGTATGTTACTATTTTAGGGAGGGAATCCCCAACATGTCACAGGTCACATGATTCAAAATGACGCCACTGACATGCAAGAGATCGACTGAGAGGTTTGGTGGCTTGCAAATATAAACCTCTGGATATTTTGATAATTCCGAAAATAGTCCGGAATTGTAGGTATAAGTACAAAGAAGTCATTCATATAAGTATTTTGTGCGCAGTAATTGTAAAGGGTACGAGAAAGTGCGACAAAGGACTTCATCCATTGCAGCCTATAGCGGTGCTTCGTAGCGTTCGTGTATGTGAGCACTATGTATCTTAGCTAAGACACGGGTAGACATGACGAAGACCTATGATATAAAATGTCATATAGAGGAGATGAGAATACCATATTTGTGATGCAAGTACCAATCTGTAGTAGAAGCAATTCTCTAATAGACGGAGGTACAGTCATCGTGATGCTCTTGAAATCAGCTTCACCCCCAAATCATCTCACATCCGTCTCACTAAATTTCTTATGTTACTCAGGTGCCTCTAACGTTGCCTTTTTTAAAGGTCCAGACTCGATTATTTACAGACCGCCACCATATAGCTGGAGTGTGGTGTGAAACTAAACTCACTCACTCATTTCAGCTCATCCCTGCCAAAGAGATGGGGGATCTTCTTCTTTCATATTCACATGTTTTGAAGTTGAAAGCATAAAGTTTATGATTACATAACTTTATTCATGTCTTTGACACAGGAATTTCTATTCTTATGTTCTGATGAGATAATATAGGCATGATTGTATTTTTGCAATAAAGTTAAACAGAAAGAACTGTTGTTCTTACAAGAGGCTTCAACTTGTGTAAGTCAGTGAAGATTCATGACTCACAGTCAGATGATGACATGTATCATGATGCTGTTAGAACGAATTTACAAGTTGCTGTGTGGAAAGTGGATGAATCACTGTCACAAGATCAGAGACATGTTTGAATGTACAAGTTACTGGTCTTAAACAGTATGGTTTTACAGAAATCCTGGGTTTGGCCCCAGCAGCTTATGCTTGTTGGAAGGCAACTAAATGGACTGGATTGTCAGGTTCATCGACTTACTTGATCGCATGTCATCTTACCCTGATAGTGTGATAATTTCTCATAATATCAGTCACATCATGTCACTGGAATATTGCTAAACAACAAGCAGTAATCTACATTAAATTTCCTTTAGTTGATGTGTACATTATATCAGAAGGTGATTCTGATCTGTGACACAGTCTGAGACCTGCCCTGTTTCGTCCCCAGTTTGTCGAGTGTGACATCAGTGTAGACGGTCAGAAGATAAGTATAGGATCTGATGAGTCTCGAGTCTACTGGAACCCAGCACCGCCTAAGCTGGACATCCCCCCAGCCAAGGTGAGGGAGGTGTTGTTCCCGGACTACCAGCGAGCATCACTAGGACCCGAGTCTCAGCAGCTACAGGCTGTGCCAGAGTCCGACTCTGAGAGTGAGGTTGAATCTGAACCTGATGAAACCAAGTTGGACCCAGAAGATGCAGCTGGTATCGAGAGGTAGGTGTTTGTTGACTTATATGACATATATGTTCTGTAACATTCAAGATGTCGTTTGTTGTTTGTTACATTCTACGCTTCTTTGAGGATTCAGGAGCAGACTGGGTTTAGGATGCCTGCAATGTCTTCAAGCCCTGATGCCATGTTGGTCAAGCTTTCAACCACTGGTTTGCCTGGTCCAGGCTATATTATTTTCTGGCTGCTGTGATAGCTGGGATTTTGCTGACTACAGATTACTGCTACAGTCCCTCCCTCAGTAATATGCTGGAACTAATTACATGAAATTGTTTGATGGGCATTCTAGAAGTTGTGAGTCAAAAATAAAACATTCAACTTTATGGATAATGTTGATCAAAGGTTTGTGGCAGAGGATTTCGATAGCTTCCAAGAGTCCTGATTCTTGGTTGATAGGATTTCAAAATTGTCAATCTTGATTTGATGGAATTTCTGTTGGTGATCGGAGAGAGCTGATTTGCTGTCTGCTTTGGCTGTTGAGGTTTTATGTTCTTTAATGCGGATATGAACGGGACGGGAGATTTCACCTATATAGGAGTCACCACATTCACAAATAATCTGGTAGATCACTCCTTTGGGGGGTTGTTCTTTGGATGGTAGGTTACGGCTATTGCCTTGGAGGATCAAACTATAGACTCTATAAAAGCACCCAATCAGCTTGTTATTATAACTCAATCCCCCTTGTTTATTGACTTCATCACCAGTCTTATTTTGTTGTTTTTTTGTTTGTTTTTTATTCATCTTTATTTTAGGTACAAAAACATGACATCAAATTACAATCAAATATAAACCATGCACTTGTATACAGAGTTTGGCAGTATCTCACTTTGACAAGCATATCACAACAAATGACATTGTTGGAAAAAGGATCAGTTGTAGTATGAATCAAACAGTTGATGGCAATTAGACCAGAATCCAACAAATTTGGTAAAGTTACAAGAAGAGATGGCATGTGTTCTCTTGATATTGTGAATTCAGTCTTATTTGTTGTTCTTAGTCTCCCACTGCCCTCTCATAATTATCTACCAGTTGTTATTCAATTACATGTTGTTAATGTTAATCTGCTGTTTGTCAAAACATACTATGTATATATACCCCTCATCATCTGGTTGTATTCACTTTTAGCTTGATAACGATGTAAGAATCTACATTGAAACTTCGCTCTTTGCAATAAATAAGAAGTTGTCATCCATAAAGTTGTATGTTTCATAGTAGCATGAAACATAAGTCATATTTGGATTACACTTTCTGAACAGGGGCAGTGGGGTAGCCTAGTGGTAAAGCGTTCGCTCATCATGCTGAAGACCCAGGGTAGCATGGGTACAATGTGTGACACCCATTTATGGTGTCCCCTGCTGTGATATTGCTGGAATATTGCTAAAAGCAGCGTAAAACCATACTCACTCACTCACTCACTCACTCACTCACTCACTCACTCAATTTCTGTACAGATACATGTAATATAAAACAGACCAGAAATCTGAACCACCAGAGTTCCAGTGCTTGTTATAAAAGTTTAAAACAGTGTCTTGGATGGTCAGTAGTTAGGTCAGTTGTTGGATGAATGACCAGGATTGAGGGGATCATAGGGGATGCTGTTAATCACTGTATTGTCTGGTCCAGACTGAATTATTTTCAGACTGCTGCAATATAGCTGAAATATTGCTGAGTGCAGTGTTAAACAACAAACAGAAAAACAAACAAAAACAAAACAAAGATGTTATTGATGAAATTATGATGACTACAGCAAAGAGCTTCATTGTAAGGAGTCGTTCCAGAAAGCTATCTCACCACTTAGTCTGTCATAAGTCTGAGTCACAGAATGGATGTTAAGAGAGGAGATTGTTGTTTTCCAGGCTGGAGAGTAGGGGTCAGAAGTACAGGTAAGCTGTGGGCCAGGTGGCTGTAGAAATAACCAGGAAATACCACTAACACACACTAATCTTCATGTAGCCAACGGAACATGGGACAATGTTTTCAGAATTTCGTATCATGAAGATTTGTCATGACTTTGCATGGTGGGTTTAGTTTTTGGTAACATCTGGAACACATGATATTTTCATCATTGTGGTTACTATCCCCAGTCCAAATAAAGATTTGTTTGGATGTAGAAATTGGCTCCTTTTATCTGTCTGTCTGTCTGTCTGGTATGTTTTATTTTGTAACTTTACCAGAGCATAACTCTTACATAATTCAATATTTAGTTGTGAAACTTGGTATGCACGTCAATCAATTACTGGCTCCGATTTCTGAAACAAACTTCAGTTTCAATAATAACTCAAGTCTTGAGTTTTTAACCGTAGCAACCCTCTTGAAACCATGTCTGAATAATCAGTGTTTGCCTGGTATGGAGTATAAAACTCAAGGCATATAGGAGAACACCATCAGCGAAGATAGACTAGAGTGGAAAGAGGGTTAATTAACCTTAGCATCCCTCATGAAACAATGCCTGAGGAATCGGTGTTTGCCCGTTATCGAGTAATAAACTCAAACTAAAATTTGAGTAAAACCTTAAGTTTGTTTCCAGCAATCGGGGCCTGATTTGGTACCTTTTGCTTATTGAATAATTTGATGTTTTGTGATTATTATATATTTTATAAGGACACGGTTTGTCTCTAAGTTCAAGTGAGGATAGCCTTTGTTTTCAGATTTGCTCTGAAAACACTGTTGCTCATAATATCAATCACTGGAATGTAGGGCCCAGACTGTATTACATGCAGGTCACACCTGAAATATGCCTTAGTTCAGTGTTAATACACAAGCAAAAGCATGGGTTACATATGATTTCATCTTTTTTAATGTGCTTGTCGACCAGATCAAAGGGATCTAAACCAAAGTGTTTGTTAGTTTGTGTTAGTTTATGAGGGATTGGCATATATTGTGACTATAATGGCCTCTGTTAACCCAGACAACAGCATTTCCAGTTGAGTTGCCTGGTTTAACAGATGTCTGGTTTAACACAAAGTAATTCATAATCTGATAGTGTAGTTTAATATGGATGTATGTAGTCCCATTAATGAAAGTCAGAAAGGTGTTGTTATGTGAGAATGGGGTCTAGATTAACAACATCTCATTACAGATAAGAAATGACACTTTTGATTTTATTTTTAAAATGTGTGTTAGATAGCATAGATATTTTGTTTAGAGGTGCATACTGACAAATAGTTTCAGATATTGATATGTAGTGGGATAGATTGTACAGCAGTGTCTATAATCATGAGGCACTCCACATCTGTACAACAATAATCTTTTCAGATGAGCAAAGACGATCAGCAATACTGATGATGAATTTGTTCTTGCAAGTTTACCAGAAATACATATTCCTGTCAAGGGCATAAGTTATTACTGTGTGTAGCAGGGCTTCATGTTAGGAGCAGCTGAAGCATGGCCATCACTCAATAACTGTAGTGATACAGGCTTCATGTGAAGCAGAGATGCCAGCCACTCCGATTTTGGCGGAGTTTCTCCGATTTCTCTTTAAAAAAATCAGATTTTTTAGAAAAGAAATCTGAATTTATTTTTACGGTATACAATTTCGTAAGTCACCGGTGATTTATTTGAGTGAACACTGGTAAAAGCATTCAGAAGCTTAGCATGTGATCTTTTGTGTGTCGATTGTGTATATTGGGTGTTATTGACGATGAAGTTTCACAAAGTTTTTCCCAAATGAATGTCATAGTCCGTATGAAAGTGAAACAAAATGGAAAAGCTGACCACGTGCTCACCCCCAACTCACACCTTTGGTGCTCAGGCCTGAATTTAAGCCAGGCATGACGCCGTTTTTCTTAGTTTCAGGGTTGGCATCTCTGGTAAAGGGCAACTATGATATAGAGATTGGATGGTCACAATGACTGCTCAATGTGTCTGACGATTAATGGGACCAGTTATTAACCCATTCAACACCGCAGGCCGCTTAAGCGGCCACAACGTTATGAGTCCCCAGACACCGCAGGCCGCTTAAGCGGCCAGGCAGTAGTCACGTCAAAATGAGACATAATTTTAGGAACTTACCTGACTTATGATTCAAATATTAAATCCATCACATTTCACAATGTCTGAAAACACTTATTAAATTTCAATTGATCATACATTATCGGCAGAATTAAAATTATAAACTATTTTTCGCAATGTTATATTGAAAACAACGATTCTCGGACACATGCTTCGGCAGCAGGTCCACAATAACATTGTCAAAGAGCAAAGTAACGATGTTTCGAGGAAATTATTAAATAAATTGAATAAACTAATGAATAAAATCAACAACAGCATTCATAAAAGTTGTCAAACGTACATATAAAATTACTAGTTCCATCTTTTTGTGCGATCATGTAATGCAAGTCAAGTCACTGACAAGTGACATCTCGGCTCTTGCCGCCTCAATCTTCACGCTCGGACACGATGTTTAATGCGAAAATATATGCATAACCTGGTCCAATAAGTCCCATAATTTACGTATATGTAGCGATATCTTGCTTAATATGTTCAGAATAGCATTATTTTACCCAAAACTTTCATCTAAATCTAAAAGTTTTCGTTTACGAGGACGGTATCCATTGCCGTAATATGATTGGCTGCCTTAGATCAGTGTTTGGTTTTGACCAATCACGACCCTTATAGCAGACTGTGGCGAAAAAGCGTCATTAGAAACCAATCTTTATCCAATAAATCGCTTCTTACAACTGTGAAAGTACTCTTGGCAAGGGTACAGTGATATTGTTGATGTTCAGAGCTTTCGAACGATACCCGACATCAAACGATTTGCCTCATACGAAGCCTCGAAAATTGAGGTATTTTCCGTTGTTGTGTCCTGTTACCGAGCGGAAAGCCACTGATATTGGGAAATCAGCGACCATACATATTATTTAAGAAATCTTTTTATAATAATTTTCTGATTACGTAAAAATGAAAATATGAAAGAAATAGGCACGGGCATGTTATGACATGTCACAAATGGAAAAAAATCGCCATAGTTTTTGCTTCTTTCGTGGCTTATCTGGACATTATAAATGTAAACTGGCATTTTTTCATTAAAAAATAAATGTATTTAAGTTGTAGTTGTATTATTTGAATTATATTATAAAAATAAACTTCATATTTATCAACAGTGGGATTAGATCTTTTAAATGGTGTATGAGATGTAGTAGTAATAACGTTTTACAAGGTTATAATTTCCTTCATAAACATAGGCTTCATCTGTGACCTTAGAGTCTCTGGGAACTCGGTGTCATGGCAGTAAATGCCTCTGGTTGACTGGTGTTGAAAGATTTAATATGACCAACTGATTTGTCTTCATATCTAGTATTGGTAATGGATGTTCACACTATGTAACTTTTGGTTGATATGATCCTGTAACAGTGACAACTTGCATACTCTCATGATGAAATATTTGTTCTGGAAATGATGCAAGACACTGGTGTACCACTTACAGTCTTGTTGGTGTAGTATTTGCTGGTCTGCAGGGGTAGCTGAATAGTTGCAATTTATAAATACACAACACCTATTAGAAAGTGATTAAATGTACCTTATGTTGTGTTTGGGATAACATGTTCTCAGTAAAGTACAAAGTTTAATACTTTTGCAGGGGTGGAAATAAGTTTAAATTTGCTAGTGTACTCCGGTAAAGTGGCACATGTAAAGTCACTTGCCCTGATTATTTTCCCACTATACCAACCGTTTTCTTGATGATTTTTTAAATATACAACATAATAAACATTGGAAAGTCAACTGGTACAGTGTGATATGCAAATTTGCTTGCCCGACAGAAAAAAACACTGGACTCGGACGTCGGGCAATGGGTTATTTCCACCCCTGTTTTGTCAGGTTGAGTCCCATCTGGGATATCAAAGTCACACTCTCAATTAGGTGCCTGACTCTGACAGTGTGGTCTGTATCCCAGATGGGACTCAACCAAACAAAAGTACTAAAATCTGCATTTTACAGCGAAAATTTTATCCCAAACGTAACCATGATAACATAAGTTACAGATGAGCAGGTTGTATTAACATGGTTGTCATGGTGACAGAGTCCTCCATCGCCGGTACCACTCAACTGAGGATGTCACAGCCTTGGTGAAGGCCAGGAAGGACTGGGAAGAGCAGGTGGTGTCCGGGAAGGTTGACCCCTACAGTGGGAGGAAGATCCTCACCCCAAGGGAGGCAGAGGAGGGACCAGGAGATCAGAAAGGGGGTAAGTAGTGTTAATGTAACTTGTAGGAAGATCCTCACCCCAATGGAGGCAGAGGAGGGACCAGGAGATCAGAAAGGGGGTAAGTTGTGTTAATGTAACTTGTAGAAAGATCCTCACCCCAAGGGAGGCAGAGGAGGGACCAGGAGATCAGAAAGGGGGTAAGTAGTGTTAATGTAACTTGTAGGAAGATCCTCACCCCAAGGGAGGCAGAGGAGGACCAGGAGATCAGAAAGGGGGTAAGTTGTGTTAATGTAACTTGTATGAAGATCCTCACCCCAATGGAGGCAGAGGAGGGACCAGGAGATCAGAAAGGGGTAAGTTGTGTTAATGTAACTTGTAGGGAAGATCCTCACCCCAAGGGAGGCAGAGGAGGGACCAGGAGATCAGAAAGGGGGTAAGTTGTGTTAATGTAACTTGTAGGAAGATCCTCACCCCAATGGAGGCAGAGGGACCAGATCAGAAAGGAGGTAAGTAGTGTTAATGTAACTTGTAGAAAGATCCTCACCCCAAGGGAGGCAGAGGAGGGACCAGGAGATCAGAAAGGGGGTAAGTAGTGTTAATGTAACTTGTAGGAAGATCCTCACCCCAAGGGAGGCAGAGGAGGGACCAGGAGATCAGAAAGGGGGTAAGTTGTGTTAATGTAACTTGTAGAAAGATCCTCACCCCAAGGGAGGCAGAGGGAGGGACCAGGAGATCAGAAAGGGGGTAAGTAGTGTTAATGTAACTTGTAGGAAGATCCTCACCCCAAGGGAGGCAGAGGAGGACCAGGAGATCAGAAAGGGGGTAAGTTGTGTTAATGTAACTTGTATGAAGATCCTCACCCCAATGGAGGCAGAGGAGGGACCAGGAGATCAGAAAGGGGGTAAGTTGTGTTAATGTAACTTGTAGGAAGATCCTCACCCCAAGGGAGGCAGAGGAGGGACCAGGAGATCAGATAGGGGGTAAGTTGTGTTAATGTAACTTGTAGGAAGATCCTCACCCCAATGGAGGCAGAGGAGGGACCAGGAGATCAGAAAGGGGGTAAGTAGTGTTAATGTAACTTGTAGAAAGATCCTCACCCCAAGGGAGGCAGAGGAGGACCAGGAGATCAGAAAGGGGGTAAGTTGTGTTAATGTAACTTGTAGGAAGATCCTCACCCCATGGAGGCAGAGGGACCAGATCAGAAAGGAGGTAAGTTGTGTTAACGTACTTTGGAGGAAGATCCTCACCTCAAGGGAGGCAGATGAGGGACCGGGAGATCAAAAGGGGATAACTTGTGTTAATGTACTTTGGAAGAAGGGAGTTATGTCTTTATTCACAAACCAGGTGATTACATGTTACAGACAAAGCTGTTACATCAGCTGCAGATGATGATGCTGCAACACCATCAACACCTCACTCTGACCATGGCCAGCAGCCAGCAATTGATGACATACTTCCCCTGGTGATGCCACTTAGAAGGTCGCAGTCACAGCCCCGGGATGATGGTGGACGAGGATGACACGGTGCTGGTCCCTCAGGACTTTAACACTGCCATGAAGGAGGTGAGTGGACAGGATTCAGGACAAGAGAGCCATGGTTTTAGTCTTGTCATTCTCTAACATACTGAACCTGTAGTACAGTAGTACATAGTGTATGTAGATTTTTGTTATTTTTTATGAACATATATTTAAAACACAACAACCCATTGTTGTAATATCATTTTATAATTAACAATCTATTTCCGCTTCATTTTTATTTCACCTTAAGTCCACTTTTGTAATTTCTCAATTCCTAATTTTGGTATCAACCCCACATGGCACAGAAAGTAAAAAAGAAGCTGAAACACAACCAAGTTGTCTGTTATTTATTGACCCTTGTATGGTGTAGCAGACATCATAACTCACATGAACATCCTTGGCTCACAGTGTGTTGCCAGACTCAGTATGTCATTTGACCACAGTGGGATAGCTTATTGCGTATACTATCGACTACTGATTTTTCTTGCCAAGACTATATTATTTACTGTATGGTATCATACACTGTAGCCCAAGATTAGAAAGTGAATTGTCTGTATGTGCTATAATAGTTCTGGAGAAAAACATTATTGCAACATCCTTCTCTTGTCTCTGGAGCGGTGGGGTAGCCTAGTGGTTAAAGCGTTTGCTCATCACTCTGAAGACCCGGGTTCAATTCCCCACATGGGTACAATGTATGAAGCCCATTTATGGTGTCCCCCGCCGTGATATTGCTGGAAAATTGCTAAAAGTAGCGTAACACTAAACTCAATCACTCACTCTCTTTTCACTGATTATAATTACTATGTACTTGATATGGTAGATTTGTTGTAGGTTGGACTTTTGAATGTGTGTTCTTATTTGGCTGTGGTAACTTTCATAATCATGTGTGATAACCCTGATGTTAGGATGAAGTTTGTTTGCATTTCATGAATTATGTTCACGAATTCCAGATTGATATTTAGACTGTTTTCTAGTTTGCTATGTCTATTGTTGACAGTAACCATGGCAACATGAATGATGTTTGGGTTGTATTTTTGATGTATGCTTCCTAATCTGTCATTCGGTATGTCAGATCTCGGAGCAGAAGTACCAGATCCGTCAGTTGAAGATAAAGCAGCAGCAACAGGTCTTGTCTCCCACTAAAGAAGTGGAGGTTCGGGAGGAGGAGGTAAGACTGAGTCAGACGCACAGAAAACCAACATTACATCAGGTAATGTGGTGGTGTAGGTCTTGTGCATAGAGCTCAGGTCACAAATCAGACGAAGTTAAGCAACGTTGGGCGCGGAGAGTCCTTGGATGGGTGACCATGTTTGGCAGTTTCTAGGACTTCAGTCCTGCCCCACAACAAGGCACATGTGAAACCTTAGGCAAGTGAGTTTTTTTCGAAATTGCCTCAGTTCACCCAGCAGATAATGGGTACCCAGTGGGATAAGTCAAGTAACTATAACCTTCTAGTGCCTAACAGCTAGGCAGCTTGGGTTATCCTGGGTAATAATGTGTTAGCGCTTTGAGCATGCACAAGTGTGTGGAAAAGGGCGCTTTATGCATGGCCATTATTATTATCATTATATACAAAGTGAAAATACAACTGGTATTGATTTATAATAACTTGAATCAATTACATACCTAATGATCAACAAATTCCACCTTGTGGAAATCCACGTTAGAGTAGGTTTTTAACAACTAATACACATTGAAAGAAGTGAATACATAAATCAGCTAAGGCTGAGTGGCTTGTCAATACCACGTCAGTATATCCCAACAACATGGGACATTGCTCATCACATCATATACAGGTTTATCTGGTCCAGAGTGTGGCGTTAAGCAATAAACAAACAAACACAACTAAATCCAGTGAAATGAAAGGTTAGTCAGTTGTCTTTATGTGTGTCTCCTGATCATTGCCAGGTTGTGGAGGAGGAGCAGGTTGAGGCAGACATCCTCAAGTTACCACAGACCCCTAAAGGTAGGCAGCAGCAGCAACTCTGGCACAATAGGCCTGGCCCCAAGCATGAAATACCTATGACCTCAAGTATGCTTTGGATCTTGCACAATGCTCAATAAGTCTGGATCGTTTTCTTACCTTTCTTGACGTAAGATTTCCAAATTGCCGCTTGTGTCATAAACAAAGAATACATTGAGGATGCTCAAGCTGAGTGTTAGTTGTACTCAGCTGAGTACACACTGAAAATGTTTTATAACCTCTGCATGAGTACAAAACTCAGTTGAGCAAGATTTTGATCATGAGCACAGATTTGAGCATGAAATTGAATTGAGCACAATTTTTTTGTTATAACCTCTGGGCCTGGCTTACAATACCTTTGCTTTCAACAGACTTTTGCCTTCACTGTCACTGTGTTTAGCTTACATGAGTAAGTGAATAAGGTTTAACACAGTAACAGTATTCCAGTCATATCATGGCATGTCTCACATAGTTTCCACCTTGGTGAAACCCGCAAGCTCAGGTATTGTGCTGACTACCCTATATACTTGATTGAGGTGTGATCTGAACCCAAGAGCATAGATTTCTGGTGTGCTGAAGGAACCCAGCACTGTGAATTGTGGTGCCTTAGACAGCTGATGCGTCTTCAGCGATCCATACATGTCATAAGAGGCTCACTGACTTGGTTGACATGTGCCATCATATCCCAATTGTGTAGATCAATGCTCATGTTGTTGATCATTGGATTGTCTGGTCCAGACAATTCTTTACAGACCTCTGCCATACAACTGGAATATTGCCGAGTGCAGCATAAACTGAACTTACACACTCACTCTAATGGTTTTATGCAACTCGTGAAGATCCGGATTACAATTTGTCTTCAGCAACCCATGCTTGTCTAAAGAGACAACTAACAGGATCATGTGGTCAGGCTTGCTGACTTAGTTGACATGTCATCGTGTCCCAATTGTATAGATCCATGTTCATGCTGTTGATCACTGGATTATTTACAGACTGTTGCCATATAGCCAAATTATTGCTGAGTGCGGATTTTAACAACAAACCAACCAATCTAATTGCTTTTTGCAAATCAACTTGAGCATTTTGGTTCAGTAAAACTGAGGAAGAACCTTTGAGAATCGTGTATTTTGTTGTAATCAGAAGGCTAGAAGGAAGAATTTGACTGTAGATATTGAGGTATCTTTACACATTCAACTGTTTGTCTTAGTCATGTAGGTCTTTCTTGATTGAAGAGCACATGATAATGTTGACTAATTTTCCTTCCAGAAGATAAGTTGACCCCAGCTGAACTTGCTCTGCTGGCCGGGAGGAACTATGTCATTCTGCCTAAAAAGTAGGTCATACACGGAGGACATAGTGTTAATGTATTAAGGATCCCATATGTTTCATGAGGCTTTGAATTGGATGTTAGTGTTGAATAGGCTTTTCATCTATATTCACCCGTGAAGATCCGGGTTAGAATATTAATCTTCAGTAACCCATGCTAGTCGTAAGAGGCGACTAATGGGATCGGGGGGTCAGACTCACTGACTTGATTGACACATGTCATTGGTTCCCAATTGCGCAGATCAGTGCTCATGCTGTTGATCACTGGATTGTCTGGTCCAGACTCGATTATTTACAGACCTCTGCCATATAGCTGGAATATTGCGGCGTAAAACTAAACTCACTTACTCACTCACTCATCTATATTCTGTTTTAATTTACCATGTGCCTTGGAAAAGTTCTGTTCTGTACTGTGTACATAGTACAACCCTGCTTTAGTGCTGTTGAAAGAGGTAGCTTTTGTCTGGTGATGGCAGAATTACTGCGCAGACTGCTGTCATTCAGATGCCGTTTGTGTTAAAGTCCTGTTAAGACTGTGTAACATTCTACTCATGCACTCTTTAGGAAATTACACCCGTCAAGATCCAGGTTAGAATATATCTTCAGTAACCCATTCTTGTGGTAAGAGATGACTAATGGGATCGGGTGGTCAGACTCGCTGACACATGTTATTGTATCCCAATAGCGTAGATCGATGCTCATGCTGTTGATCACTGGATTATCTGGTCCAGTCTGGATTATTTACTGACCATCGCCATGTAGCTGGAATATTGCTGAGTTCAGCGTTAAACTAAACTCTCTCACTCATTTTCTCTTTAAGAAATTACTATTTGTAAATAGTTTTCTGTTGAGAGCATTTCAATGGAAGGCAGTTTACAATTCATTCCCTAAAATCGGAATTGAACTGTCATGTTGCTGCTGCTTTTATTCATTGAAACATCAAAATGTTGAAATATTCATGTCGTCATGTATACAGTAACTCATTAATCTGTTCCACAGAAAGAAGTCGAAGCGCAAAGGACCCGTGGACATGTCCAGGATCGAGTCCGTCCAGAAGTTTCTGGCTAGCCCGTCCCCCACTGTCTCCAGGTGGGGCTCACTGCCTCGAGTCAACAGAGTCATCGAGTGGGAACTCAGGGTGCCAAGGTATTCTGCCAAATACCTGAATAGAGGAGAAAAAAGAAAATGAGATCGTTTTCTAAAATACATCGATCAAGGTTAAATGTATTACTCCATTTTGCCTGTTACTTTGTGTGTAATACACATCCATATTTATGCTGTTCATTTTCTTTAAGAAACTGTACCTACCCTTGTGTCATTAAAATTCGTTCTTGTAACATGTGTGAAACAAAAACACCTAAAATGTCAGTGGAACTGTACATCTATGGGGGCGGTGGGGTAGCCTAGTGGTGAAAGTGTCTGCTTGTCACCCCGAAGACTCAGGTTCAATTTGCCACATAGGTACAATGTGTGAAGCCCATTTCTGGTGTCCACTGCCATGATATTGCTAGAATATTGCTAAAAGCGGCGTAAAACCCAACTCACTCACTCACTGTACATCTATGATGAAAGGTGACAAGACACAACTATATCCCCTAAGTTGCAAAAAGGTGAAAAGCAAGAGGTGGATCTGAGAAACAAACATGTAAAGGAAGTCGTCTCTTTGGCCTCACTTCAAATGTCACATTTCAACATCATGGAAAACATTGAAATTTTAACTAATCTGATCAGACATGATGAAGTATTTGACAAGTAGCCTGTTATTTTTTTCTCTCTTACACTTCCAAGGTTTGGATGGTCAAATGCATCAATATTGTGTCAAAATGGCAGTGCTTTAGAACTCAACAAATCATTGTCACCATGTGTTTCTAATGCTTTTGTGTACATCTCCGAGAAAAGTCCTATTGGGTCAACAGCTTACTCTGTTCAAATACTACAAAAACACTTCATGACAGGTCAAAATCAGATTCTGGGTAGATCTCGCCATTACGTATTCTCATCATTCTTATTTGTCCTTGCATCACTATTGAAATATTTTGTTAAACATTCAGCTTTTCCTTATGTCCAGGCATGTGAGGTCTCATCGCTCTAGTCTTCCAAACATTCTGGACTTTGAGGCATACAAAACTCAGAAGAGATACACGTAAGTCATACACTACCACTGAAATGTATTTATCTGTAATCTGTATTAATCATTTAAAGTGTAAACATCTGGAATGAGTGGTTTGACAATGTTTCATGTAACTGCACTGTTTCCCCAGGCCTAGTGAAGATGAGAGAGAGTGGGCTCGGGACATCTGGAATGTGTGGTTTGACCAGGTATACCCGCCAACACCGACTGAATCTGATGTAGAAGAAGGCAACTATTTTGACTTCCAGTCAGACACACACACTCATACAGAGACAATGTCTATATCCAAGGAGGAACGAGCCAAGAAGAGGTACACAGATTGTCTACCTACACACAATACTTGCTTCAGCCTTCCCTCAGGCTTGAAATGTCTTGAATGTAAAAGTTTATACTTTCACAGGCCTTACATTTTATAAGCTTTGAATTTTGTATTTCCTACCTTAAAACAGCTTGAAGTGTGATCAGTTTCTCACAACATGTCACATGGTGTGACCCAATCATCAGTTATATGTTTGTTAATGTTTTCTTGACAACATTTGGTGCTTTTGCTAGATTCATTGCCTGGGGACTTTCCAGAACATTGTCATAATTTTATGATTTTTTAATAAAACATTATTGCATATCATTACCAGTTTTGAAATGGTATTCAGGACATTGCAGATAGCAGTCATCAAATTACAAGAATTTGAATTAATCTAAATCTGTGGATTTTCTATTTTTACATTGATGAAATTTGTATGGTTTTGTTGGGAAATGTTCCTTTATCCATGTGTTCCTACATGTCTGCATACATGCGTTTTGTGTGAATACAGGAAGGAGTCCATCACTAGTGTATTGTCCGACACCATCGACACTCTGGACCCACTCTCCGACACTGAGGAGAATATAGAAATTATTCAGGTGAACATCAGTTTTTGTTCCTTTACAAAAACTGTCTGATGTGAAATGCAGATACAGTCAAACCTTGTTGTGTCAAACTTGCAGTCCCAGTCTCAAACTTCCCTTCGTGTCCCTGCAAATTCCATGTTTATCATCATTTTTAATCTGTCAAACTTGATGTGCCAAATTCAATTTTTGTCAAACTCGTTTGAGAGTCCCAAGCATCTAAATTAAGCATATAATTCCACTGAAGACTCAAACAGTTCAATAATAAGGATACATACACCCACACTCACCAAACTTTAAACTCACTTTACACACAATTGACTAATCTCTGTATAATTGCTATGATGGCTGAAGGCTTTCTAAATACCTGAGGACAACGTGCAATATCCGGTGTTATGAGATTCTGTTATATATCTATCTATAAATCTGGATATATATTTATAGATATGAAGTGATTCTCAAATATGTTTATATTCCCTAAAATACCTATTCACCCTAACTCAGACACTCTGCTTACCACTGACCACTTTCCATTGTCTATGATCGAGCTGGGGTGGTCAAACAACAAAGGGGGTTATATAATTATAGCTTGGGCTTTTGACTTTCTCCAGCTTGGTTAAACCCTAAGTGCTCAGTATCCAGGTTGGGAGTGTTAGGAAAGGACAAGCCATGTCGGCAAGTTTGAACTGAATATGCAATGTCGGCATTGAGAGAATTAAGCATGTTGTGCTATTTCATACGATGGATTTATTTGTGCTATTATTCTGAGGATCTAGTTGGAACATGAACGATTTTTCCTCAAAGTGAGACTTTTAACCATTTACACTGATACATGCTTTTCACATTTGTACATATATATAAAGGCGATGGATGTCAACTTCTTTGTTGTGATGGACACAACAAAGAAGTTGACATCCATCAAATTCTTGCCCTTATGTGTATCACTTGTAAATGCCATTCAAAGACTCTACATATATATAGACTGCCACAATTAAAATTATGTGACATTGTTGTGTGATTCGATCTTTGGTATGTGTGGCTACATTTTCTGTGGATCCGCTCTTAACACAGGGCAATCCTAATTAACATGCACACTTTACCTTGAAGTGCAAGCTGATAATGGTAACGTAAATGTTTTACAGGATTACAGTTTTTGACATTAAAAAGATTAATTGTATATGTGATTATCAGTTTAATTGGATACAATATCTAATGCTTTTTGCATTGATTAAATTTGATCCAATGTTTGCAGATTTTAAATGAAGAGATTGATAAGATGACGGCCCAAATCGAGTCAACCGACAAGCCATCAGCATTTGATCTGTGTAGACGTGGAGCTCTGTGTAGGAAGGTAGGTAATTCAGGGTTCTGTCTGTTGATTTTTGAAGCCCAATACTCAAACCCAAGTCTACTTGTTGGTAAAATCCTTGAATTGGAATTAATGAAGACTTTTGAATTTCATGTTAATATAATCATAACTCACATCTTGGTTGTGTTCTTGTCACTAGTAAAGAGAAAATTTCATAAATGCAATGTTAAAATATTAATTGAGGGAAACAGCTGTATAGACATTCCTAATTTTGGACAAATTATGGCTTTATTCAATATGGCTGCCATGGGTATTAACTTTAGAATCCAAGATAAATCCCTTCTTGGAGAGGATTAAAAGCTGAGACAATGTAGACAGTTGCGAACTAGCAGCTTCTTTACATCAAGATGACTGTACATGATGGGGTATTTTCCACCTCATCAACTAGGATTGGATACAGCTGAGATTGAATAAATATTTCTTATAAATGCTTATCTAGTTTCACCACAATACATGAGATTCTGATATTATACTTGATGGAATTTTCTTATTTCAGATTGGTAAATTGAAGAATGCCTCTCTGGATCTAGACAGGTAACTCTCATTTCTTTTAACAAGTGAAGAACTCAGCACCCTGTCCTTATTTTACATGGCTCTCTCCATGTTACAACGCTCCAAGTCCCAATGTTACAATGCTCCAAGTCCCTATGTTACAAAGCTCCAAGTCCCAATGTTACAGGGCTCTAAGTCCCTATGTTACAATGCTCCAAGTCCCTATGTTACAACGCTCCAAATCACTATGTTACAAAGCTCCCAAGTCCCTATGTTACAAAGCTCCCAAGTCCCTATGTTACAAAGCTCCAAGTCCCTATGTTACAAAGCTCCCATGTCCCTATGTTACAAAGCTCCCAAGTCCCTATGTTACAAAGCTCCCAAGTCCCTATGGTACAAAGCTCCCAAGTCCCTATGTTAAAAAGCTCCAAGTCCCTATGTTACAACGCTCCAAGTCCCTATGTTACAACGCTCCAAATCACTATGTTACAAAACCCCAAGTCCGTGTTTTACAAAACTCCAAGCCCCTATGTTACAAAGCCCCAAGTCCCTATGTTACCCAACCACAGTCCCTGTGTTACAGAAGTCCTATTCCTATGTTACAGAGCTATACAGCTGGAGCCATTGCTACTAGATGCCTACTGGCACCGCCATCTTCTGTACATCCTCCAAGACAAAAAACAGGCAGCGCTAGATGATCTCAACTTTATCATGAAGAAAAACAAGAGACACGCTGGAGCATACAGATCTATGTAAGTTATATGTGTATCAGAAGCAGTGTTGTGGGTTTAAGGCTATATCAGTTATTCATCAAATGTTTGGGGATGGGTTGTTTCCTGCATGTAACCCATCTCTTACAGTAAAACAATTCTGAAGCCAATATGTCTGCCACATATAATCTCTCTCGTACGATTATATGCCATGGTAGTAATATCTACATAATGTTCTGTGTAATTATTTGTTGATTGCTTTGTAAATGAGCACTGTGATCACATACCTATGAATGAGTGTTCTATTTTTAAATTTGGGTGTTGCATTTTTTCAAGTACTGACATAACAAATTTGAACTCTTTGAGACTTATTCTTCAATGTGAGAAGGCTTACTAGGATTGTATGGGTACAGTAAAGATAAACACTTCATATTTTGACATGTTAGAAGAAGAAGGTAATGGCAACAATTGTCCAACAGCTTGAAATGTTCTGTTTCAGGGCTGAAATCTATCGACGCCAAAACGATATAACCATGGCAATTGTGAACTACACCCAAGCTCTGAAGCTAAATCCCCATGACCACGAGGCTTTCTTCCGCCGAGCCGAGATGTATGAGCAGGTACTTTGTGTGAGACAGTTTCAAAAGAAGATATATGATGAAAACTATATATACAATCATTGTATTCCAATTGCATAGATCGATGCTCATGATGTTGATCACTGGATTGTCTGATCCAGACCACCGCCATACAGCAGGAATATTGCTGAGTGTGCATTGAAACAACAAACAACAAAACATTTGCTTGTATATTTTTGCTACCAATATTCAGAAAGAATAACGTTTCGATGTTCTATTTGTGTGTGGATAGTTATCCTTAGTTCTCTAGTCTTTTCTGATGCATTTCTGTCATGATAAATATCCTGGATTCCTTTCATGACCATAGTTTCATTTGGGATGTTGTTTCAAATTTCCACGTTATAATTAAGTTAGTTATGAACTGTTCTTATTCATATATAGCTATAGATTGATTGGAGCAATATTATGTCACATGAATCAGGCTCCATACAAAGCAAGGATGTGAATGGTTCTGGTTATTTCCCACAGCTTAAAGATGTAATAGAGAGGGGTTACAGTGAGTCGAGTGTGGTTACACTGTATACTGTGTTGTTGCTAGCGTGGTGAGATGCTGTTGGCCCTGGAGGATTATGGGAAGTGTACTAAACTGTTGCCAACACGCACAGATGCCATCATGAAACATGGAATGTACTACTTCAAGAACAGGTGAGCTGAATAACACTGTACTGACTTGTACTGACTTATACCAAATTGTACTGACTGATACTGGCTTTTACTGACTTGTGCCATCTTGTACCAACTTGCACCGACTTGTAGTGATTTGTACTGATGTGCACTGACTTGTACATACTTGTACCAACTTGTGCTGGCTAATACTGATTTGTACTGACTCGTGCCGACTTGTGTTGAGATGTACCGACTTGTACTGACTTGTACAGATTTGTACTGATGTGTACTGATGTGTACTGACTTGTACATACTTGTACCGACTTGTGCTGACTAATACTGATTTGTACCGACTTGTACCAATGTGTACTGAATTGTACACATTTGTACTGATGTGTACTGACTTGTACCAATGTGTACTGACTTGAACCAATGTGTACTGACTTGTACACATTTGTACCGACTTGTACACATTTGTACTGATGTGTACTTTGTACTGATGTACTGACTTGTACCAATGTGTACTGACTTGTACATACTTGTACCGACTTGTGCTGACTAATACTGATTTGTACCAATGTGTACTACCAATGTGTACTTGTACCAATGTGTACTGACTTGTACCGACTTGTGCTGACTAATACTGACTTGTATCACTTGTACCAATGTGTACTGACTTGTACCAATGTGTACTGACTTGTACATACTTGTACCGACTTGTGCTGACTAATACTGATGTGTACTGACTTGTACCAATGTGTACTGACTTGTACCAATGTGTACTGACTTGTATCAATGTGTACTGACTTGTACATACTTGTACCGACTTGTGCTGACTAATACTGATTTGTACTGACTTGTACCAATGTGTACTGACTTGTACCAATGTGTACTGACTTGTACATACTTGTACCGACTTGTGCTGACTAATACTGATGTGTACTGATTTGTACTGATGTGCACTGACTTGTACCAATGTGTACTGACTTGTACCAATGTGTACTGACTTGTACCGACTTGTACTGACTTGTACCAACTTGTGCTGACTTGTGTTGACATGTACTGACTTGTACTGATGTATTGATTTTCTTCTAAAATAAAATCTTTTAATTGAACATTCCAGTAGAGGTTCCAGTAATGTTAAGCTCATCACTTACTTGTTAAGGTCATGGTGACTGTAGGGGCGGTGGGGTAGCCTAATGGTTAAAGCGTTCGCTCGTCACGCCGAAGACCCTGGTTCGATTCCCCACATGGGTGCAATGTGTGAAGCCCTTTTCTGGTGTCCCCCGCCGTGATATTGCTGGAATATTGCTAAAAGCGGAGTAAAACCCAACTCACTCACTCATAGTGACTGTATAAAAGAAATCAAATTGAAAAGTGCTAAATGTTGACTGTACGGAGTTTATGTATTGTTGTTTTTAGTTTGAAAATATTTGAATTAGGAATATCAATAAGAAACTGGAAAATGATATCATGAATATTTCTTCAGGAACTGGAACAATGCCATCAATGACTTCACTGATCTGATCCGTGTTGACCCACTGAATGCCATAGCTCACCTGTACCGAGGTCAGGCATATGCCAGTCAGAAGCTGTGGGCCCCAGCTGTGGAGGACATGTCAGCTGCCATCCACCTGAACCCCGAGACATGGGAGGCCTTCTATCACAGGGCCTGTATACTCCGCAAGTAGGTGGACACATGCAGATTAAAGGAACAGACACACTCTAAGTGTGGCAGAAATGAAAATGAAATCAGAAAGATAAAAAACGTCATTGTTTCAAATTCATTTGCTTGAAATCAGATCTTTTCTTGGATTTTGCACTTCTGAAGATAAACTGGAGACTACTCCATAGAAAGTTGCGTCACGTAAATCCAGGGCAAATTATGATTGACAATCTAAAGGAAGGTGTGGATTCTAATGCCAATCGGATTTCTAAACTGATTTGGTGTCATTCCTTTTCCACCTCAATTCGGAAATGTTGATTTGTTAGCCAAAGAAAACCAACACAGGATACAATTTAACTCATGGTAGTACACCTTTCTAGATGGAGATGCCACCCTACTCAGAAACAGCAGGATGTATAAAATATCCATAGTAATATAATAGCATATCTCTATTTATTTGCATTCAGAACTTGCCAATTATATTTGCTAGTGAGATACTTCACTCACTCATACCAGGAATTGGGGCGGTGGGGTAGCCTAGTGGTGAAAGCGTTTGCTCATCACGTTGAAGACCTGGGTTCGATTCCCCACATGGGTACAATGTGTGAAGCCCATTTCTGGTGTCCCCCGCTGTGATATTGCTGGAATATTGCTAAAAGCGGCGTAAAACCATACTCACTCACTCACTCATAACAGGAATTTAGAATTAGCAGTTCGGGTGACACAACCTCCCTTGGAGGTGTCCTTAGATTTACTCTTTTAGACGTATCATGTAGGAGTAAACCATTTTTGTAAATATTTGAGTAGAATGTTGTGATGGTTTCCCTCAGGGCCCACCCAAAGCGAGCTCTACAGGACTACAGCATGTCACTGCTCATCAACGACACAGAGGAAAACATCATGTCCTACCTACACCGTGGCATCCTCTACAGTGCCATGGGCAAGTAAGTCACCAGCATCTTTCAACTTTCCTCCCTGTTTCATGGAACTCTCAGAAATGTCCCATAACTGCCTAGTATCATAATTTGTGTCCGAGTTGATTGATAGTGTCACTTTCCTAGCTTTGCCAAATGTAAACAGTTGGACTGTTACCCTCAATTTTGTGCAGTTGAGGAAAATCTATCTTCTGCCTTTGTCATAAGTTTTGGTATATTTTTGGGGGGGAATATATGAACAACACTGTCAAGATTCAGGTTTAGAGTGTCCACACTTATGAGATGACCTAATGTACTCGGTGGCTTGGCTTGGTCACTCTGTTCTGTGTACCCCCATTTAGCTGGAATATTGCTGAGTGTGGCGTTAAACAACAAGCTGTTCTGCGCATGTACCCTCTTGTCATGAGATGTCACATGTAAGATGAATACACAGTCAAATATAATGTGATTTCTGATGCAACATTTGTCTGTTATTTTGGTTTTAAATGTTTTCATCTTTCTCCTCGTTATTGTGCATTTTGTTTTATACCAGCACAGTGAATACAGTGAACTTAACTCAATATAGAATTAACTGCACCATGTACTCTGTCTGTATCTACAGGGCTGAGGATGCCATCCCTGACTTTGAGAGTGTGCTGAAACTCAACAAAGATGTTGCCTGTGCTCACGTCAACCTGGGACTTATCTTCATGAAGAAATATGAGAATTACCACAGGTAGGTGTGCTGTGAAGTGAGGGCAGGGGAGTGAATGTTGTTTTAAGCCAGTCTACGTTATCACAGCAGTATGTAAATAATAAGTACAAACTAGTGGCTGATAGTATGAAACACTATTCATATCTTTTAGATTTAGTAAAGCACAATAAGCTCAATACATTTTCCAGCACAATATAGGTCTGCAGTTCTACATGCTTGCCTGAACAGGTTCTACAGCTACCCAGTCGCCCAAGAACCCAGATTAGAAAAGTCCCCTGCACACTAATTCTTGTATGAGGTGACTAACTTGACTGTGTGTCTCTGTACCCCGACTACAACTTCATTCATTCATTCATTCATTCATTCATTCATTCATTCATTCATTCATTCATTCATTCATTCATTCATTCATTCATTCTAGTTGATCCGTAACTGTGCCTTTGATGGGCCAGACATAAGGCATACAGAGACATGAGGCCTATTGGTCTGAAGTGAAGTATTATGTGTTCTGACCCGGACCAGTTTCATTCATTCATTCATTCACTCATTCATTTATTCCAGTGTGACAAATTGTGATAGGTTTTAGATACTGCTGCCACCCACTGAAGTTATAAGGTTTGAAGTACATTTGTACCTTATGTACTAATTGTTGTAACAATTTTTTCTCAGGGCAATCAAGAAGTTCACCTCAGCCATCAAGGTTGAGCCAACATACATCCGAGCATATGTATGTCGAGGAGAAGCCTACCACAAGATACATGAGGTAAGAGTCTCTTGTGTGGACACACCCAGACATTAAACAGCTGAAGATAGGATGCTTAGTACCCAGTAGCAGATACCGAAGATATAGATGAACTACACAGTGACAAACTAACAAAGTGTGCAAGGCAAAGATTTCTGTGTTTAACCTAGCACACACCAGAAAAACTTAGACAGTGCGGACACTATTGTCTGTACAACTGTTAATGGATAGTTGAAAATGAAGAGGACCTCTGTTGAAAAGCAGAAGATTTTGTGTGTGATGAGAGCCAAAACAGTATTTATTGCAGTGATGTAACTAGGAGTGTATTCTTAGAATTATTAACATTTATAGCTATTGTTTGATTATGGTACTATCACAGCCATTGACTTCAGAATTTTACTCTTCGATGTAATTAACTTTCTATTTGATTACGTGTATTTGAACAAATACTAACCACTATGCTTGGACACTGTATATAGATGGGTGGAATTTAATGAGCATTGGTCTAATTCTCTTTTTAGATTGTGTAATATACATTCATTCACGTAAAGGTCTCTTTTGATGACTAGATTGAGTGATCAGGTTTGATTGTATGGCATCATTGCCACATGGCCTTGAAAGTTGCTCATAATATCGACCATCAGTCTGTCGGGCCTAGAACTTCTTCTCGGGCAGTCAAGACAATGCTGGAATACTGTTGATAGATACTTAAAACAACACACAATTTTGTTCTAGTGTTATGGAGTTTTCTGAATGTTTATTTTGTTTTTTTTACCAGTTGAAGTTGGCCCTGAGGGATTTCACACGAGCCATTCATCTGAGACCAGACGTCCAGCATTACTACATGTACAGGGTGGGTAGACATAGGCTTCAGATAGGTGCACATGTAAGACAAGATTTAAGGAATCTGAGGAGGTACTTATATACAGTGCTGTTGGGGTCATTGTGACCCGTGAAGCTTAGGGGAAGAATTGGTCTTCAGTAATCCATGCTTGCCATGAAAGGTGACTAACGGGATCGGATGGTCAGACCCAGACTTTGTGGATGCATGTTATTGCATCCCAGTTGCACAGATAGATGCTCATGATTTCACTCACTGGGTTGTTGGGTCCAAACTTGATTTACAGACCAACATCATATAACTGAAATTTGTACCCGTTTTTTATATAACATGGCTGTGTTCACAAATAGTTAACATGAACACTGCTGAACATGTGTATCAAGACTTCTGTGACCTGTGAAGGTCTGGGTTAGAATACTGATCTTCAGTAACCCATGCTTGTCGTAAGAGGCGACTAACGGGATCGGGTGGTCAGGCTTGCTGACTTGGTTGACTCATGTCCTCGGTTCCCATTTGCGCAGATCGATGATCATGCTATTGATCACTGGATTGTCTGGTCCAGTCTTGATTATTAACAGACTGCCACCATATTGCTGGAATATTGCTGAGTACGGAGTTAAACTAAACTCACTCACTCAAGACTTCTGTCTACGAGGCTGGATGTCTGTCTTTTGTATTCCTAAGGGACCGTTCATAATTTATGGCTAGGGGGGATGATGATGATTTTTATGGAGAAGCATGTACAATGTGGATGCCCCCCCTAAAATTTATGTACAAAATAAGTGACCCCCCTGCATGTGTCATGTACAAAATCAATGATCCCCCTCCCCTTCCCATAATTCCAAAGCGTAATTTTTTCCTTATCCTGACTCATGTATCTTTGCTTGTCTCCTTCCCTTCCCGAACGTTAGTGGAACACTTGTATCTCCTTTTTGAAACTCCCTTCAATAAAGCAGACGTAAAATCACTACTCACCATGAGTTGTCTTCCTCTCGGTTTTGGCGGGAAAACGGCACCACCCGTCTTCCCACGCTTCTCTCTCTCCTTCTTCGCCCTAGTGGACAGTTGGGAGAGCACCTGTGTCTCCAATACGGCACTATATCCTTTGATAACTAAGTTATTTCCCTATATAAGTTACCTTTATAAGGTTTCAGGGAGTATCCTTCCACAATATGGTTTGAAATTTATTCATAATTTGAGTGTTTATTCACGGTTTTACGTGATTGTTCAGTTTATTTACATTTCATGAAAACCTCTTTTCGTTGTAGGTTTAGGTTCTCTGCTGCAGACCCGCATTATTGTGCCCTAGTTGCTTCCAGCTCTCGCTGTAAATTATGTCAGCAACTAACAAAAATTGAATTTAAAAATTATTATTTCTTTGTACTTAGAAACGTGCTAAGGATAAATCCAGGCGGCTGTTACAAGTCATGGCTAAACCGGCTTAGTCCCTTAAGAGCTGTCTGTCGTTGTCAGACGACATACTTCCATCCAGTGAAGCCGGAGGCGTCCTCAGAAGATGGGCTTGGGATGTAGTCCGCCAATACGTCGAAGGAAAGATCTTCTACGTCGGACAACTCCTCAACCCATACGAAGAAGAAGAGGCCATCTTCGTTGCAGAAGAAGCCTTACACCCCTAAGGCTTCAACGAGATCTACTGGGAGCTCTTCACAGACTACAAGGACCTTCTCTGCCGAGATCGTCCCGATGGAAGAAATAGGCTTGTACGAAGAACCGCCTATCCTCATCCCAGAAGAAAAAGACGCAGGTCTCAGCAACGGTAACGTCAGCACAGGCTGAGTTACCTTCTACACTGGCAGCAGGGACCCATGGGTACAGCGATCCCTGGACCATATCGCTACCCTCTCAAATGCGTCATCTCTACAGTCGTCGCAGACATTCAACCCCGGGACCTTCATGCAGCAATTCTCCCAACAGATGATGGACCTGATGGAGAAGCGCTTCGCGCAGGAAAGGACCTTGCATGATGGTCAGGCAGCCGCCTCTCATGCTCAAGTCAGGACCAGTGCTGCACGAAGGACCCCGCACCGGTGGTGCATCTGAGATATCTACAAGAGGTTCTAGCTCTAGGACTAAGAGCAGACCTACGCTGCACGACGTCAACGAACCTGCGCGAAGGAAGGGACATTCATCCGACCAAAATAGATCGTCATCTGATGATGAAGCTAATGAAGAGCCTTCACGCAGGCTACATACATCACAGAGAGGCTTACACCTCCAAGAAGATACAGAGAGACGTCTCAGGACTCAGACCCTCAACAAAGATCTCTCACCTGCGCGAAGGTCGTCAGATATATCATCAAGAATGTCACCATCACCATGCAGGTCGTCACGGGATTCACCACATAGGAAGGCAACCCCGGACACGTAGACGCTCACCTCCACGCAGGTCGCCATACAAGATCTCCTCTTAGAACTACACGATATCGCTACCATCTCAGATACGACATCTCTACAATCGTCGCAGACATTCAACCCCGGGGCCTTTATGCAGCAATTCTCTCAACAAATGATAGAGATGATGGAGAAGCGCTATGCATGCATGATGAACAGCCAGGCGGTTCTCATGCTCAAGTCATCAACCTCAGAGAGGATCCAGAGCTGCACGAAGGACCCCACACTGATGATACATCTGAGAGGCCTACCAGAGAATCTAGCTCTAGGACTAAGAGCAGATCTACGCTACATGACGTCAGCAAACCTGCGTGCAGGACGGCACGCTCTTCAGAACCAATGAGATCGTCATCAGATGATGAGGCTAATGAAGAACCTTCAGGCAGGCTACCCACTTCACAGAGAAAGAAACCTACACCACCTAGAAGGTCTAGAGAGAGACGTCTCGGGACTCAGACCCTCAACAAAATCTCTCACCTGCGCGAAGGTCATCTGAATTATCTTCAAGGGCGTCAACAACACCTCGCAGATCGGGATTCACCACTTACATCGCCACGCAGATGCCACACAGATCGCCACGTAGATCGCCATGCAGATCTCCAAGGATATTCAACGATCATATACCAGTGGACATGATACAAAGGACGATGGCGGTATCATATTTTCGGACTCAGAGATAAAATATTGGATTGCTAATGGACTGGACCTAGCGTCACCCTCGAAGGAAGAGATCTTCGACGGCGCAGAGACTGAGGGACACGTGTTGAAGTTCAAGAGGGGTACTCTTGTCCGAATTCATCGATCTTCAGACTGAATCCAGGACGGGATTCACATCGTTGAGAAAATTTAGATAGATATATCTACATCAGAAGATAATAACGGGACTCATGTCCATATAGAGATCTTCACTTGCGTACAGATCTTCAGGTATTCACATTGGCGTGGTTCAGCAGCATCCTTGCTAAGGCTATGAAGTTACAAGATTGATGTAAACTGCAAAATCAGCAACGACTCCCTTTGTAGAACTTACAACAAAGTTGACCATCAACTCTACAAGGACCTGTGTGTTTCAACACAAAGAGGGTAATTTACGACACTTCATTGAGATCGATGAATGCAGTCTACAAGTGGCAGCGCTGAGGAGGTGTACACTTCAGCTGATCATCTGTATAAAAGGAAGACTGCATTATCTTCAGGTCTGAAGTAACAGTAACAGCAGCCAGGGAAACAGCTTACCTACATCGGTATTACATAGTTCTACGGCATCTCACCAGTGACGCTTATGAACCATTAGATAGGACATCTTTTGAGTTCTTGACGCAGAAAACTCTATTCCTGATCGCCTTAGCAACAGCAGCAAGGATGTCGGAAATACATGCTCTAGACTTTGAGAGGACACGATTTGACGAACATCGAAACATCGTGCATATGGGACTGAGATGGGACTTTATAGCAAAGAATCAACTGCCAGGTCAACCGGACAGACAATTCCACATCCCAGCACTATCATCAGTCCTTGGGCCACAGGATACACAGGATCTATCCTTATGCCCAGTAAGAGCAATGAAAGTCTACCTACAAAGGTCTAGGACCAGGCGACGAAAATTCAAGCGTCTTTTCATCCCTATATCGACAGCGACACAGACGGAGATCTCTCGCACTACGATATCAATATGGATGAGAACTGTCATACTCGGCCTACAAAGCAGCAGGACTTGATCCTCCAAGAGCCAACACTCGCTCTACATGGGAATTGCTCTATCACGACGATAATGGAGGGCTGCTTCTGGAAATCGGACATGGTGTTTGCCAACCACTACCTGAGAGACATCGCCACCGAGGACGTCTCTGGCATTCACCATTTTGGCCCACTTGTTGTAGCACAACAATTGACAGTTCCACAAAGGCGCTGAGACGGAGTCTCGCCCTATTATCACATGACTTGCAAAAGCCTACACTCAAGAGAGTTACAGCTTTAGAGTCCATATGCACTTCTAAGACAGACTAGCATAAGTGATAAGACCCAGTACTTGTAAGGACGTACTCGTACATAAAAAGGGTCGCTTCTCCACTTGATGCTTGCATCAAGAGATGGAGTTGCAAAATCCACATAATAATGTTAACAGAAGCAAGGACCAAAGTTAACAATTGTGGTCCCCATCAGAGAAAGCTGGAAGTAAAGGGTTACAGCAGCAGCAGAGCCTAGCAGTAAATAGAAGTGCTACCAGGAAGTTCCCATAGGGGGCATGCAAGACGAAATCACTAATTGGAATCCAGAAGTGGCTTGTCCCACCACCAGATCCGGCCAGTTCTACAAGCAAAGATACATGAGTCAGGATAAGAAAAATATGTAATTTTCTGAGTAAAATTGATATTTTATACTTATTCTGACTCATGAGGTAAGCCCTCCCAACCTCCCCGCTAGGCACTTTGAATTTCCCTGTAAATCGAAGTGTCGGGCTAGCTATTCGGAGCGAGTGAAGCGTGGGAAGACGGGTGGCGCCGTTTTCCCGCCAAAACCGAGAGGAAGACAACTCATGGTGAGTAGTGATTTTACTTCTGCTTTATTGAAGGGAGCTTCAAAAAGGAGATACAAGTGTTCCACTAACGTTCGGGAAGGGAAGGAGACAAGCAAAGATACATGAGTCAGGATAAGTATAGAATATCAATTTAAATCAGAAAATTACATTTTTAAATATATTTTTATGTACCCCCCCAAAAAAAATATTAAAAAAAATAAATAAATAAATAAAAAAAATTAAAAAATCATCATCACCCACCCCCAGCCATAAATTATGAACGGTCCCTAATGTAATTTTCTATTCCAGGGTCAGCTGGTTCTAGAGATGGGCAACATGGAGCTGGCAGCTTTCTGTGTCAGGTGGGACATTACTCTGTCCATAGCTTTTGAATACAGGAATATAGTTCGATATGAACTACATGTGCTTTACACTCGGTAGGATGTCTAATGCTGGTCTGTTTGTCAGTATTCTTATTTTGTTTGGGGCATTTCCCCAAGACAACTGTGAGATATTTTGTGGAAGACTTATATTGAATATATACCCTGAATCTCTTCTCATGAATTATCTGAAAAGTACTATAACCATAGGGTGTATATTTCAGACATGCCTCTGAGCTGAGTAACAACTCCACCAGCTCTCTAGGACAAAGACCCACCCAGCAGGCCATCGTACAGTCCTTCCTCAAGAACTATGACAAGGTGAGGCTCAACTTCTGAACACTTCCAAATTGTATCTTACATACCTCGTCTTCACAGAAACATCCTTGTGTAGATTCTATGGCAGACAGAACCTACTATCTTCTTCTGCATTGACAGCTTAGTGGTTTATGACAAGTGTTCATGCTGATTGTGTGACATTATACCAATGCACTGTTGCTCATGCTGTCAGCCACTGGTTGAACCACAGACTTGCATATTTACAGGTTGCTTAGATATGGCTGAACTATTTCTAGCTACAGTATAAAAGTACATTCACTCTGACTTTCACAAGAAACTGGAAAGCTGTTGGTTGACTTTCAGAAATAGAATTAGAATAAAAATATTGGGGTTGTTAAGCGCCTTATCAGCAAAGATATGTTACAGGCAACAAGTGTGGACATTTTATTCATCCTGCATAGTTTGTGTTTTAACTGTACAGAAACATGTCCCAGCTGGACCAGTAGGGACAAGGGTGTTGAGTCATGATTCATAATGTTGTCATAAATTACTTATACAACAGGGTATGACCAATTGAAACACACATACTCAGCTGGCATTAGTAGCATAAACTGGACCCAGATGCCACCCGTAGGGCATATCATTTTGTGCTTGAGATATTTTATTCTTTAGAAAAGGATGAAACACTGACAACACACATTTGACCTGTTTATGTATAAGTTATAACTGACTAGAGGTCATGATGACACAAAGATCTGAAAGTCATGGGCAAGCCCCGAATCTGTGGATGAAACAATTGGTCAGTGTTCTTCAATTACATTGATTAAAATTCAATAAATGTATTCACAATTCTCTTGATTATCCTACATGAGCATATCCATGCAGGCTATCGACGCTCTGAAGAACGCTACACGGGTGAAACCAGTGGGCAGTCTCTTCATGCTGCTAGGCAAGACACAGATGAAGGCGAAGCACTTCAAGGATGCTATTGACAGCTTTGAGATGGCCCTTGTCCAGTTTGTAAGTAGGGGCAGGGGTGTAGCAGTTAGATTGTTCTGATTAGTGATAGTGTTTAAGTGTTCACACCAGAAAGTCGACTTCCCCATGAAAGTAGAAATTCCAGTAGACCGTCTGACATCCTATGCATATGTTCTTCATTAAAGCATGTACAAGATTAGAAAGATTAGAATAGAATCCTAATCCTAAAACATGTACATGGTATATGTAATAGGCTAAAGTCTTTCAGGACTAGCCTGGCTGATTAAGTGGGTCATACTCACTGGGTAATGCTCACACTATCAATCATTGGCTTGATATATATTTTTACTATACCTATTTTATAACAGATTAAACAAATAATAAATACTAGACTGGTTTACAGTTGATGACAACTTAGATATGGTCATGTTATTTTTCAGAAACCATGGCGGCCCCGAGACCCATGGCCGCCAGAGACAGCAGATGCACACTTTCTGTGTGGTGTGTGTCATAACGAGCTGCGCAACTACTTCGAGGCATATGAAGCCTTCAACAGCGCCATCAAATTTGATCCCAACTATGCTGAGGTATGTGATGTTTGCACCCTTACATGTACATTGTGCTAATTAGGACCTCCATCTTGATGTTTAGGTGGTCATAAACTTACCTCTTTGAACAAGGTGGTTAACATGGGTCAATGGGATTTATGTCTTTAAAATTATGTCATGCAGGTGCTTTTCTAATACTTAAGAAAACTCATGAAGATCCGGGTTAGAATTGGTCTTTAGCAACCCATGCTTGTCGAAAGAGGCGACTAACAGGATTGGGTGGTCACACTTGCTGACTTGGTTAACACATGTCATCGTATCCCAATTGTGAAGATCGATGGTCACTATGTCCATCACTGGATTGTCTGGTCCAGTCTTGATTTGGTGCCTAGTTCCCTGTGTCAGTGCTGAGTACAAGGTGATTTGTATGGTAGAGTATGTAATCATACCCTATGGCTTGGCGCTGTACTTGTGCACACAAACCACTGGACTGCCCTCCGCAGGCTTGAATATTTACAGACTGTCATGATATTGCCTTCTGATATCTTTCGTTAATAATTTTTACTCACAATAATTAAATATGTGTATAGTCACTGTATTGTTTCTACTCTGCACGCTCTTCCAACAGGCTTTCTACCAGCGAGGTCTGGCTAGGATCAAACTGAAACAGTCCAAGGGCATCCAAGACTTCAACAGGGCTCTTGCCATCAACCCCAAGATATTCCAGGTCTGTCACTCTTTCCCAACACTTACCAGTATTCTAGACTCACGTTGATAACACTGATTAACATGCAACAGAACATGACACATAAGGGATTCCGGGTTTGAATAGGTCACAAGTAATGTATGCCTGTTTTACAAGGTGATGAAATCAGTGTAATGGTCATGTTTAGGGACTTAGTGATTAAGTGTCGTGATTGTGAAGACATTGGTCATTAGATAAATTACCAGTTTATCTGGTCCAAACTTGATGACCTAAATGCTGCTGTCATATACCTGGAATATATTTAGTGCAACAGAAACAAGAAGAAATACCAAATCTGAACACATTTCTATGAAGATTTGCTTGAAGATCAGTTAACATGTCAGAAAATATGCCAGCCTGACACCCGATAATATGTTACCTTGTAGGCCTACCTTAGTCGAGCCTGCTACTATGGGCTGAAGGGGAACTACACTAAGGCTATCCTCAACTGTAACGAGGCCATCAAACTCCAGCCCAACAGTGTCAGGGCATACCTCTACAGGTATGTCTTGTAACATAGCAACCAGTGTGGAACCAATGTTCGGAATGGTTACAAGAAGTGGATGCTTGTAGTCTTTCTTCTTTTTTTTATGAAGTGAGGTTCAAATTAATTCTTGTTGTCAATGTGTTTACTCATGCTAAGCTCATGTCATTTGTTTCCAGAGGTGCCCTGAAATATCACATCAGGGCATATGAGCTGGCTATCCGTGACCTGAGCAAGGCAGCCAGTATAGACAGCACCTGTCCCCTAGCTTACTTCAACAGGGCAGTGTGCTACCAGGAGAACAGACAGTACCACAAGGTGCCAGTTCTATAGTCTATCAGATCTTTTACCTCAATACAATGAGTCTCTGCATGAAGGGGAGGTGGGCAGCCTAGTGGTTAAAGCGTTTATTTTTCCTTATCCTGACTCATGCTCTTTTGCTTGTCTTCTTCCTCTTGCGAACATAGTGGAACACTTGTATCTCCCTAATTGAAGTTCCCTTCAATGTAAAATCACTAATTAGTACACCACGAGTTACCTCCCTTCCACAAGCGCGGGAACAAGGGCGCCACCTCTACCCATGTGCCTCACTCTCTCCTTCTTCGCCCAGTGAGCTGGACGTGAGAGCGCCTGTGTCTCCCGACACACTATATCCTTTGATTATATTTAGTTAGTTACCCCGTGATAGACATCTATAGAGGTTTAGCTAGTATCCTTCAACAATTATATATTGATATTTAGTCGCGGTTTCTACTGTTTATTCACGGACGCCGTGTTGTTTCAGTGGATTACGCTTGATAAAAATTCTGTACTGTTGCACATTACGTTTTTTATTCTGCTGCTGATCCGCATTTAATATGCCCTAGCTGTACTGCGCCATGTTTCATGTTATTCACGTTGCAGTTGCGGTACTAATTTATCCAATTCTGCCTTTAATAAATAATTACTTTGCGTTTGAGACGCGCAGCAGATAGGTCGCGGATGCAGAGTCTAGCCATGACTGATACACCTGAACCCCTCGCCAGTCTACTGCTGTTGGTCGACCCCCCTCCCGTCTGGTGTTCCGCTAGAGTGGTGGAGAGGCGTGGGACGTAGTCCGCCGCCTCCAAGAAGCGTCCTGCTTCCCCAGACATCCCATCGTCGCAGCCGAAGACTAGAGGGTTTCTACTGCATCTCAACGCGACCTCTGAGGGGAAATCAACGAAGTCTACTTGAACTTTCTCAGCCGAGATTGTTCCCGCCGCAGAGATTTAGCCCTGTATGATGATCAGCCGATCATCATACCTGATGTACATCAAAAGAATGACCGATGTCGACAACAGTGATGTCAGCGCAGATCAACATGCAGCCTGATGTACCAACGCTGATATTCTATGATCTTCCTGAGGGTCCCGTTGCTACCAACACTCAACGCAGACTTCGCACCCCAGGGCAGCGTCGACCTCTGAGGGGAAATCAACGAAGTCTACTAGGACTTTCTCAACCGAGATTGTTCCAGCCGCTGAACTGGCCTCTCTACGATGATCAGCCGATCATCATCCCCGACGACGCCACAAGAAGCTTACCGGAGACAGCTACAGTGACATCAGCAGAGATCGCCATGCAGCCTGAGGTCTCTACACTGACGCCAGACGACTTCCCTGAGGGCCCCGCCGCTAACATCGCAGAGAGGGCACCGACTAATTCGTCCGCAGACCATCCCAGATGAACTGTTGCGGCAAATCATGATCATGATGGAGGGCCACTACAGACTGGAGAAGCAGCCAGCCCAAGGCCTGAGCCTTCGCGAAGGTTCCAACGCAGACGACACCCCAGAGGCACCCCCATCAGCGTAGCAGCCACGACGAAGCCACCTTCGCCGAAGGAAGTCGCAGACCACCTCGACGGCGGACCCAGATGTACAGCCTTCGCGAAGGCCTTCGCGCGGCGGGGGATAGATCATCACCTTCCTCGGCTTCATCCTTAGATGCGGACTCAGACCATCAGACCTCACGGAAGCCTTCGCTAAGGTCAAATCGCCGTTCCCCAGGACCGGACGCAGAGGAAGCTTCGCGAAGGACACCTGACTACACAAGAGCTTCGCGAAGCTATCAACATTCTCCTCACAGGTCTCCGAGAAGGTCAACCCATAGACGCAGATCACCAACACGATCTCCGCGCCGCCGTTCACCGCGCCGATCTCCTCGTACATCACCACGTCGATCGCCTCACAGGTCACCACACAAGTCTGCACACAAGTCTACAGTCAGGTCTCCCGAGCGTCACCCGACATAGAGATAGAAATACACAGTCCACCATCAGAAGAGCATCAACCTCTCATCAGCGATGCTGGGATAGAAAATGATGGAGGCATCATTTTCTCAGACGCTGAGATACGATATTGGATGGTAAACAACCTAGATCTCTCTTCACCTTCAAAGAGTGGCAACTCGGCGCAGACATACCTGATAAAGGAAGACGAGGCAGACGCCATCACCTTACCTCCGATCGACTCGATTGCTGCGGTGCCACAGTATGTGGACACAGCCTACCATAAAGCCATAACAGTTCAAACGCCAGAGGCGTATGTTCTTGGCCTTAATAGATCTAGAACGATCAATAAGATTCTTATCACCAGATTTCGTGACACGACTTCTGAAGATGATAGGATGATCTACTCGGCTCTACTTATGCAGAACCAGCAAGAACCACACCCTGTATGAAGCTAACGCTCATATATTGATCGGACTCTAGACACTTCGCTAAGGAAGTCCCAGGCCACCTCCGCGAAGGAGCTAGAGCCTCACCAGTTACAAGGGACGTCACGGAGGAGTAGCGCTTCACCGACCCCACATATTGCTGAGTGCGGCGTAAAACAAAACACTCACTCACTCACTCCTGTTGAACACAGAGGTCGTTCGCGAAGCAAGCGCTCATATATACATATACTGATCGGGCTCTGACTCGATACCTTCGCGAAGGTCGCGAAGGCTAAGTGGCTCCAAGTCTACCTCACACAGAAAATCTAGAATGGATACTTCGAGAGCTTCGCGAAGTCTCCGGCGTCCACCGAGGAAATCTCCTCCAAGGTCTCCATATATTAGCCACTTTCGTCATATATAGCTACTCGTCAGTCCGTTCAAGACATCGCATAAGTTCTCTATCAACTGTATGCCATATGCCGCCTATAAGCCTCTGCTGAAGACAATTGCACAGGCTATTTACAACACAGAACGTCGCTGTATTAATTAGTCAACGACGTTTCATAGATCTTCACAGGAATCAACCTTTCCGTATAGATTGCTAGAATATGCAATCCCGGACTACAATACGATTATCTACATGCGTGACCATTAAGCAGTTCTGCAGACAATTCAATATCGAAATTGAACAGCAGCCTTGTTACAGCGAGTATAACTCATAATCGTCAAAGTTTCTGAGAAGAAATATGTACAACAAGTTCAGCTTTAATTCTACAATTATGACGATACATTCATGTATACAGTCTACAAGCTGACAACTTGCAAGTTTATTGTACCTTTATATAAGGAAGTCGGAATTATATTCCAAACTGAAGTTACTTTCACGACAGCCAGGAAAATAACCTACCCAGCATTAATATTACAGAGCGAGGTATTTCGCACCCGGATGTTTCAAGCGTTTACCTTTAACCCTCGAAAGACGTGGTCACTCGGGTAACTTCGGGAAGCTACGGTGAAGACCGACGATTATGCTAATATCAACGACGGCAAGATTTTATACAAGGTTTTTTCCTGCTACACCGGTGACATCACAGCGCGGGTATTCTACAGAATCAAAATGCCTTGTTCTGATTGGACCGCGTTGGACAACGACCTACGCAGAGGTCGATCTTAGTTCACAGTTCAAGACTTACGTTACAAGTGACAACTATATATCAGTGAACGAGCAAGCCTCCTTACAGTCCAGTTAATCTGAACCTTCATGATTGGGCTGCTTTCTTCAGGTTAGAGACCTCCCCTGTCAAGTTAGGACGAGGGCACGGCAGTCAGGCGATTTTACATAAAGTTCAACGAGGACAGACACACCTGGTTGTGCACCTACATCGTCAAGGACTTCGCAAATAACCTAGACGACGGGATACAAGTGGATCTAAATCCACAGCGATTCAGACTACAGCTGAATTTCATCATCAAGCTACTAACACAACTAGATGGTTAGTAAACCTACTTAAGCTTTCTGATTGGAGAATTAAAACGGAAGTTTCACCCTCCAACTTGGGGATCTGAATATAGTGCTCCAACACCTCACAAGTGAGGTTTATGAACACGCCTGGATGACATACTTGGACTCCATGATACGATGATTCTATCACGATGGCCAGCAAGAGCACTGTAAATTTATCTCCACCGAACCAAACAGGAGGGAAAAATGCAACAGATTATTTCCTCTATCATCAACTTACGCAGAATGAAGTCTCATGTACTATATCTCAGTTTGGATCAGAACTGTCATACTACGTGCATACAAGACGGATGGACCCAATCCGACCCTCCATGAGCTTTTAATACTCATGATATTAGAGCAGTAACTTCTACAATTGATTTACACAAATGTTATTTGAAATAATGGAGGGTTTATTTTCTGGAGATCCGATATGGTGGTTGCCAACCATTATCTGAGAGATATCATCACCGAGGACGTCTCAGGTATCCACCAATTCGATCCCATGGTCCTCGCACAACAGTTGACAGTTCCTCGGAGAAGATAAGTCAATCTTACAGATTTCTACTTATCTTATAACAGTACTAAATAGCTACATGCTATATATAATTTGCTTAAGTTTTTTTTTATCATCACAGTACTATGATTATTACATCATACAATATATAAGTTAACAACTCTACAGAGTTGGTTATTATATATTTACCTTAAGTTAATTATATCTTAAGCATAGTACTATACTCAGATTGTAAAAATATATAAGCTAACAAACTCTACAGAGTTTGGGCTATTATATAGGTAGCTTAAGCTTATTCATATCTTAAGCTCAGTACTATGTTTATATCATATAAGTATATTAGCTAACAAACTCTAAAGAGTTTTTGCTATTTGGCTTAAGTTTCATCATATCTTAAGCAATATGGTTACATTATAACATGTATTAGCTAACAAACTCTACGGAGTTTTTGCTATTATATATGTAACTTAAGCTTATTCATATCTTAAACGCAGTACTATGTTTATATCATATAGGTATATTAGCTATCAAAACTCTAAAAGAGTTTTTGCTATTATATATTTGGCTTAAGTTTCATCATAATTTAAGCTTATGGTTACATTATAACTTGTATTAGCTAACAAACTCTACGGAGTTTTTGCTATTATATATGTAGCTTAAGGTTCCTTCAAATCTTAAGCTCAATACTATGTTTATATCATATAAGTATATTAGCTAACAAACTCTACGGAGTTTTTGCTATTATATATGTAGCTTAAGGTTTCCTTCATAAGCTCAATACTAGGTTTATATCATATAAGTATTTTAGCTAACAAACTCTAAAGGTTTTTTGCTATTATACAATTAGCTTAAGTTTCATCATATCTTAAGCAGTATGGTTACATTATAAAATGTATTAGCTAACAAAACTCTACGGAGTTTTGCTATTATATATATAGCTTAAGTTTAATTATATCTTAAGCTCAGTACTATGGTTATAACATAAAAGTATATTAGTTAATAAACTCTAAGGAGTTTTTTGCTATATACATTTAGCTTAAGTCTAATCTTATCTTAAGCTTAGTACTATGGTTACATTATAAATCTATAAGCTAATAAACTATTAATTATATCTTAAGCATAGTACTATACTCAGATTGTAAAAATATATAAGCTAACAAACTCTACAGAGTTTGGGCTATTATATAGGTAGCTTAAGCTTATTCATATCTTAAGCTCAGTACTATGTTTATATCATATAAGTATATTAGCTAACAAACTCTAAAGAGTTTTTGCTATTTGGCTTAAGTTTCATCATATCTTAAGCAATATGGTTACATTATAACATGTATTAGCTAACAAACTCTACGGAGTTTTTGCTATTATATATGTAACTTAAGCTTATTCATATCTTAAGCGCAGTACTATGTTTATATCATATAGGTATATTAGCTATCAAAACTCTAAAAGAGTTTTTGCTATTATATATTTGGCTTAAGTTTCATCATAATTTAAGCTTATGGTTACATTATAACTTGTATTAGCTAACAAACTCTACGGAGTTTTTGCTATTATATATGTAGCTTAAGGTTCCTTCAAATCTTAAGCTCAATACTATGTTTATATCATATAAGTATATTAGCTAACAAACTCTACGGAGTTTTTGCTATTATATATGTAGCTTAAGGTTTCCTTCATAAGCTCAATACTAGGTTTATATCATATAAGTATTTTAGCTAACAAACTCTAAAGGTTTTTTTGCTATTATACAATTAGCTTAAGTTTCATCATATCTTAAGCAGTATGGTTACATTATAAAATGTATTAGCTAACAAAACTCTACGGAGTTTTGCTATTATATATATAGCTTAAGTTTAATTATATCTTAAGCTCAGTACTATGGTTATAACATAAAAGTATATTAGTTAATAAACTCTAAGGAGTTTTTTGCTATATACATTTAGCTTAAGTCTAATCTTATCTTAAGCTTAGTACTATGGTTACATTATAAATCTATAAGCTAATAAACTCTACAGAGTTTTGGCTATTATATATGTAGCTTAAGTTAATTATATCTTAAGCACAGTACTATACTCATATTGTAAAATATATTAGCTAACAAACTCTACAGAGTTTTGCTATTATATATGTAGCTAAAGCTTATTCATATCTTAAGCTCAGCACTGTCTATATCATATAAGTATTATTAACTAACAAACTCTAAAAAGAGTTTTGCTATTATATAATTAGCTTAAGTTTAATCATATCTTAAGCTTAGTACTATGTTTATATTTTAAAGTAATTTAGCTAACAAACTCTAAGGAGTTTATACTAGCATATTAACAAGCTTAAGTCTATTAGTCTTAAGCATTGTATTAATGTTATATATACTTTATCATAATAAGTACATTGTAATAACCTTTATATGGCAGCTGATAAGTTAGCAGCAGGAATTCATCAGTTCAGTGCCTTTATGAAGTTCCCATAGGGTTATTACAATCATCACAGTTCAAATCACTAATTATTAAAATCCAAAGTATTATATATTCCCACCTCCGCTCCGTAGGATTCTACAAGCAAAAAGAGCATGAGTCAGGATAAGGAAAAATATGTAATTTTTTGAGTAAAATTGATATTTTATACTTATCCTGACTCATGAGGTCAGCCCTCCCATCCTCCCCAAATAACACTTTGGATTTCCCTGTAAATTCAAATGTTGGGCTCAGTATATGAGGAGAGAGTGAGGCACATGGGTAGAGGTGGCGCCCTCGTTCCCGCGCTTGTGGAAGGGAGGTAACTCGTGGTGTACTAATTAGTGATTTTACATTGAAGGGAACTTCAATTAGGGAGATACAAGTGTTCCACTATGTTCGCAAGAGGAAGAAGACAAGCAAAAGAGCATGAGTCAGGATAAGTATAAAATATCAATTTTACTCAAAAAATTACATGTTTCTCATTCCGAAGGACCCGGGTTTGATTCCCCACATGGGTACAATGTGTGAAGTGTATTTCTTGTGTCATCCACCGTGATATTGGTGGAATCTTGCTTAAAGTGATGTAAAACCATATTCACTTACTGTGTATGAAGATGTTCATGGAAGGTTGTGTTACATGAACATTCAACTAAATATGATTGACCAGTTGAAATGAAAGCTGCATAGTCCCTAGAGCCAGTCAGATGTCAGCTTTCTGAAACAATTCAGTACCATTTCTTTACTAACTTGATGTAGATATTTGATCTTTGTGAAATAAGACTGCCAATAGATCCAAGCACACCTTTTAGGTCTAGACACCATAGTGCCTTAGGATGTACTAAATATCCACAGCCACACAATACTAGAACTTTTTATTGCATTTGGCCAATGTTTATCTGAATACATCGGTCACTCATATGGGGAATAAAGAAGCCTCAATGTAGATTACCTGATTGACTTTAAAGTTTGAGATAAACTTTAGTGGACATAATTCTTGTCCTTCCAGATCTTCCTATTTTTAGAAGGTTGCAAAGTGCAAAGCAGATTTGTAAAACAATAAATGAAATTACACTGAAAAGTAATTTGTAACAATGATCTTGTACCAGTAGATTCTGACTGAAGTGTATTTCCCCCCTCATAGGCGCTGATGGACTATGGCATTGTACTGCTGGTGGGAGAACAGCTCATGTTGAAGGTAACGTGAGTCCGTACCTTGGTCTGATACTCTGGTACTGGAGAACATGTTCACTTTGTGTTGATGTATGTTGTTAGTGTTTTCGCTCAAAAAAGCTTCAGACAAGTAGAGCTGTCACGTTGGTTTCATGCCCCTGATGACAAGAAAAAGTGCTTCAAATTCATTCCTTTGATGCTTAGAATTATCTACATTTGTTCTTATAAATCCTAAACATGTAAGTTTAATTCTCATCATATGCCCACATTTGGTAACTATCAAAACAATTTATACATGTTTTCTGATTTTTGTATGATTTTATTAGCCAAATCTGTCGTTGTAATGTATGCATAACTTTATCTGGTGTGTACATGATGACAGGTGCTGATCAACCGAGGCCTGCTGTACTTTGAGAGGGGGGACTACAGCAATGCACTGTATGACTTCCAAATGGCTGCCAAGCTCAGTCCCTGGGACCATCGCATTCACCACACACTGGGTCTGTGTTTCCACAAGTGAGTCCTGCTTCTACAATAGATGTTGGCTAGGAAATATTATCAAGACATTCATGGGGTTCAGGAACAACAAACCACTTCTCTTTCTCCCCCCTGGTACAGAAATATGAATTTAGTGGAAAAAGAGTGCATAGAAACGAAACAAACAGTTTGTGACAGGATAATGTATTGTGACCGTTGGGTCACAGTTATTATGAGAATATCCTACATTGATTGACTGTTGCCCGTGTCACCTCCCCAGACTAGGGCAACTACAGGAAGCAGTGAAGACCTTCTCCCAGTGCATCGAGCTCAAACCCTTCTTCCTGGATGGCCTCATCAGCCGCGGCAACGTCTACATGGACTACGGACACGATGATGGACTGAAATATGCCAGGTCAGATTTATACCATTTGGATGTTATACCAACATAGCCTTGTGGTGTGAGGTTTGACGATGGATTTAGAACAATATTTATTGATTTTGATGTTATACTTGAAACTATGAATCAGTGTAGATACTTGTTAACAATGCAAAATTTACCTGTTTCAAATCATATCCGGAACAAAATGTAATTTTTTTGTCAACTTTTGTGACATGGATGAGAAAGACTTGTGATCATGAAATAAACAAACAAATTTGTAGTTATTACCAAAGTAATGAGACAAGTCTATGTACTGTTGTGAAATATGTTGAAAGACGTGACTACGAGCGAGCCCTGATCCTGGATCCAATGTGCCTGGCTGCCCGGGTCAATCTAGCATACACGATGCAGGTAGCAGGGAAACTGATGCAGGCCTGGAGACACTTCACGGCAGCTATCACTGTGAAGCCAAGTAAGTACATGCTGCATCCCCGTCTCCAGAGGAACGTCAAGGACAAAATAATGTACTTCTTTTTATATTAATTTTGTTGTATTTTTTCACTCATTCTTTTAAATCAGTCCTAGATAATCCAGTGTGCTGTATCTCCATTTAAGGATTCAAACCAGCCTTGGAAGGACGAGCTATTGTCAACCTCCAGATGAGCGACACCTTTGCAGCATATCAGGATATCAATGCCTCAGTGAAGGTGTCGGCAACGGCGGAACTCCTCACCAACAGAGGTGTCATCCAACAGGTGAGTCAACACATGGATCTGTTTCAGTAATATTATATACTCCTGCTCCACAAACAATGATAGCATTAAGACTATCATAAGCTGACATCAATGTATGGGTGTTGTGATAACCTTAGTGTAAAGATCACTTTGTGGAATGAGGCCATGGTCACAGATAGAAGCCATTAGCTTCTTTAAAGCAGTGCTCATCATGTATCAGTTAAACTGGTGGCCAGGTGGTCTTAGGTGCCAGAGACCCGTGAAGGTCCAGGTTAGAATTGATTTTCAGTAACCCATGCTTGTCGTAAGAGGCGACTAACGGGATCGGGTGGTCAGGCTCGCTGGCTTGGTTGACACATGTCATCAGTTCCCAGTTGCGTAGATCGATGCTCATGCTGTTGATCACTGGATTGTCTGGTCCAGACTCGATTATTTACAGACTGCCATCATATAGCTGGAATATTGCTGAGTGTGACGTAAAACTGAAACTCACTCACTCTTAGGTGCCAGAGAGTCATGATACATAGTTGAGGCCTTAGTGTTACGTGTAGATTTCCAAATTGAAACTCTAATTTAACCCAGAAATGTATACACAAAAGAATTCAGTATGAAACCAACAAACAACAAAGAAATTATATGTAATCAACAATTGTATTATATATTAGCCAATCAGTGTAGTTAGCTGCAAAGTAATGAAAATGGAAGTAGACAAAAGAGTGGAATAAAAACTATTTACCCAGCATCAACAGTGGTCAAGCTTCAACAACAGGACTGTGCTGGATGTCCAGGGTATAACTATGATCTTCACACAACCACTGGTTTTAATTTCTTTAAGTAGCCTTTCGAAGAAGAGGAACACTTTTTATGGATAGACAACTTGTTTTTTGCCATAGATGCAACTTTTCGATGTAGATACTAAAACTTGCTTGATAATGGGTCTGTGTTTCAGTTTAGTGATGACGTAGTGAATGCTACATTTCAGTTTATTGATGACCAAGTGAATGCTGTGTTTCAGTTTAATGGTGACCTAGTGAATGCTATGTTTCAGTTTAATGGTGACTGAATGAATGCTATGTTTCAGTTTACTGATGACCAAGTGAATGCTATGTTTCAGTTTAATGGTGACTGAATGAATGCTATGTTTCAGTTTACTGATGACCAAGTGAATGCTATGTTTCAGTTTATGGATGACCGAGTGAATGCTATGAAGGACTACCAGGAGGCCATCAAGCTTGAGCCAACCTACTCTCTCGCCTACTTCAACGCTGCCAACATCTACTTCCACACCAGGCACTTCAAGCAGGTCAGTTGACTTCAGATATACAGATGTCAAGGTCACAGCTGGTCAAGGGCCAGGTGAAAGAAGACACATTAGCTAACGTCAACTCAAAGATTTAGTATTGATTACAATGACAATAATCATACAACAATTTGTTGAAGTAGGTTGGAAAGCAGTTTCCTTTTTGTGCTGGCAGTTGTGGATTTTCAAGAAGTTATTTCACATAAATCTTTCTGAATGTTGAATTTAATGCTCAGGTTTTCATTCATATATACCCTGTTTCTTGCCAGGCACTGGAGTACTACAGTCGTTGTATAGAGAACAATCCCCGAGACGAGTCCGCCTTCCTCAACCGAGCTATCACCAAGGTTAGCTTTGTGCTCATAGTCGTAGAGGTGTAGTGATAGTCACTCAAGGCCGTCAGTCTAAATATTGGGTATTGTACTGTACCTACAATTTTCAGAAGGCTTCTAGAAATAATGGCTGACCTTGATGTATTGTCATTTTTACTTGTCTGCTAAACAATCTACCACAGAGATAGTATTACCACTTGCCTGATGGTAAACTGTCAGTTAGAAATGTCACGAGTCCTCTCTCAATATTACTAGTCACAGACTTGTGGAAAAATGTTAATTTCAAACCCCAAATTGAATGTATCCAAAATTTATGAGTGCTGCAAGAACCATGTCAGTGTTAAGATGACTTGAACCCAGTAGGTCCATACAGTTGGGTTCCAGGTTTAGACAAAGACATTTCTATGTAAGATGATGTTTGTGATGGTGGTGGTGTTGCAGGTACTCCTGAAGGATGGCCAGTCTGCACTGTCCGACTTCCGTTCAGCCATCAAGTTGAGTCCTTACTCGGCCCACATGTACTTCAACCGCGGCAACCTGTACTCCTCCATGCAGCAGTTCGACAGGGCAGAGAAGGACTACACTAAAGGTAAACTTGATTAAACACTAGGGATGACTGTTGAGCAGCCTTGTGAGGAATCTGTGTTAGAACTGGTCCCCAGAAACATTTGCTTGTTAGAAGAGTTGACCTGTGTTGGGGGTCAGACTCTTTGACATGCCTCATTATCTTGCCTCACACATGTTATTTTCTGATTGGCTGAGCGCTCTTCTTATATTTTCAATGTACCCTGCTTACAAACGAGTAACATTTTCTATGTACCCCGCTGGGAATGCCGAACTCATTTGGTACTTCGTAGTAATAAGGCTTTATCTCGAATAACATTGCATCACGTATGATGTATGGAAATTACTAATGTTTTGAGAATGCAAATCGATGGAAGGAAGATAACTCTAAATTTGTTTTTCTTGTCATCTGGTACTTCATACTATGATCCGATACCTGTGTTTCAAACAGTTCAAAATTACCATTGAGGTGTTTGGTAAGATAAATACGTTGTTCACTGGTCCCTCAGGGCCCATGGGTTGATGTACCCTCGATGTTTCTTTAAACAAACATCAAGGGTACATCAGCCCATGTCCGTCTCGAGACCAGTGAACAACTTATATTGGATACGATCTGGTCATGGTACAATGCTCACAACACCAGTCACTGGTTTGTCAGACTTTATTATGTGCAGGCTGCTGGCATTTATGTGGGACTGTTGTCAGTAAAAAAATTGGAGCATTTTAGAACTATTGGAATAGTCTGGTGACACCCACTTATAGTAATTTCTTTGGGGGACAATTGGGATGAAACAATATCTTGTTCAGTAGGTGCATTTCATAACATTATAGTATGTGACATAGTGGAACCCCAGTGCCTCATGCCAGTCACAGAGTCATATGGGTGAAATATTGCAGACTGCAGCTTACAACAAACAAACAAGTGGAAATGTTACTTTAATGCTTAAAGCTGTAGTTTAAAGATGCTTGTAAAACTCACTGGTGTATACTTTGGAGATTTTGAATATTTATTGGTTTTCAGCGCTCAGTCTCCAGCCTGACGATGCCCTGGTGTTGAAGAGACGTGCAGATGTGCGAGGGAAGCAGGGCAAACGTGAGCAGGCTGTGGTGGACTACAGGAGAGCTATAGAGCTGCAGACCAGACCCCATAAACCTGCTGTGTAGAGTTGTATCTACCCCCAGCTCTCTCAGCTTATAGTACATGTTTGATATAGCCCGATGGCTTGTGGTACCAGTAATTTTTGTGTGACTCCAAGCACCACCTGAGCAGAGGACAGTCTCTACCAATTGGTCAGTGAGGTTGGACATCTGCTAAAGATAACATGCAAGCTGTTTCGAAGAGATGTATAACAATGGATTGAGAGATTGATGTTCTGCATATGAATGTCAGAAGTCAATAATAGGGCTGTGATCACGTCTGGGATAAAGCTGAGATGCATGATTGCTTTTAATAACAATTGATACTGATTACAGGAATATACCTCCACATGTTGTGTGTGTTAAGGTGTTGCTGTGACATACAGTTGCACATCAGCTCAACTGAACACCTTCGTCATCATGGAATATAGGTACTAATGTTTCAGGTATGATGCATGGCCTGTTTATTGTTTTAAAAATCTGTGATATATGTGATTCTGTGATATTGGTGTGGTCATGGAGGAATTATTACCTCAACTTACTGTTCTACCTTTTACAAGTAGCATATTCTATTGCCTACATCAGGTTTTATTGTGATGTCAAACAAATATGTCTTTAAATTGGAGTGATCTTTATCAGAATATGCTTTGTTTCTAGGCTGCAGCTGTGAGGTCTGTAAGTTATAGTTTCAACATGTTAAATTACTCAACTTTTGATGAGGAAAGTTATATCATTTATCAAAAGTTGAGTGGTTTGATGCATTATGACCAATATTCTGCCAGTATTAAAGGAATGTGGTGTAAATTGATAATAGCAGTTGTAAGGTTGCTATTTCAGCAATCACATCAGCCAAAATGCATGTATCACATTCCACGAAATTCCAACCAAATAAAATATTCCACATTCCGTCCCAAACAATTTTTTACACCCCAATTTTTTGTATTCTTGCATGGACATGAAAGTTGTTATAATGTTCATGTGAAGCTTTGTGTTATATACAGGTTTTGCTGACGGGATTTCCTATGAAATACAACTTGTCATAATAAACAGTATCTTTTGACACACAAATTTATGGGCATTTACGAATGTATATCTGTGTGTCCCTTCAAACCATGAAAATGAATCCAAAAGAAAATATCTACCTGGAAATCATGGATCCTCTCTTGAGCACATTTTACTTTCCACTCAAAGACCACAAATCCATGGACCAGAAATCTGTATAAGGGTTGGTGGGGTGGGGTAGCGTAGACTCGTCATGTTGACGACCCGAGTTTGATTCCCCACATGGGTACAATGTTCTGGTGTCCCCCCCACCATGATATTGCTAAAAGTGCCGTACATGCAGCCCTACATTTTGGGTATATGACCCAAATTAGAAAGGCCTATTTCAAGCTTTCAAATGACAATAACAATGATCTGCGTCACACTGTGTCGTCATTCATCTAAGAAGAAAAACTGACAAATGTTGAGGATCCATAACCTTTATTCAGTCATGCAAAATAAATGTTATGCTGAAATTCATATTTACATATGTACAAAATGACAATGTGCTGGATGGTTGAAAGATATACTATATGTTGGACAACTGTTTGTTGTAGAAAAGTAAAAAATGAGTTTGTGCTTGCAACTTGTATGACTTAAGTACTCAACTGATAAAATGCTTTTAGTAAACCACAAAACTGAAAGGAACAAATGTCAGTACTAAAATGGAATGATACTAGATTAATTTGTCCATGATTTCAAACCATTAAAGCTAAGGTCTTCCATGGTATTGAAACAACCAAACTCAAATGAATTCCATCTGAAATTGTCACATTATGTAGGACAAATATAAGACAACACATGATATTGTATAATAACAATGATGTAAGAATCTGTTTTGCAAGACAATGAAAACTAGACATTACAATCAGTGGACTGGACAATAGTACCTATGTGATATGACTGGAGATAGCACCTAGACAAGGCTGGATGATACATGAAATATGAATATCAAAATATCTTCTGTCGGTATAAAAATAGTTTGATGTGAGTTATGGCTATAGAAGTTGCATTGTCTAAGCCGGTTGCTGCAAGTCAAGCACACTAGACATTCAGCTGGTACGGAAGATGAGGAGTGAAGGAAGGTGCTTGTGCTGCCTCCTCACATGGAGGCTGGGACTACGGGGGTGTCGTTGTTCAGCAGAGACCTCTGCTACTCTACAGAGGATTCAAACATTCATCAGCATAATCCAATCTAACAACTTTTTGACCTTCCTTGGTGAGGTTGATAAATGAAAAAGAAATTAACACCACCACATATTGGGTCCATGTTTTGGGTACAAACCACACATGACTATGTATTGAAATATTTCACTAAAATTCTTCCCATCACCAACATAGAATGGTCATCCTAACATCTCTGATAGAAAAATAGTCTGTACATGTCAAGAATCGCAAAGACAATATCACATCTAAATAATTTGAAAACATTAACATTTCTGTTTGAATGGTTACAATTGCTGGTTTCCCAAATACTAAACACCTCTGAAGAGAAAGTACCCCTTTTCTGGTACTATTCACAATCATCACACTAGCCAACTCAACATGTTACACCAGATGACACTCACCCATCATGATGTTGCTCACTGAAGTAGTTTGCATAATGTGCCCAATACATTTGCGTAATGTATTTTTGATTGAATGGAAATCAGCCATAAAACATTTTTTGTACTTATGATAATATTTAACCAGTATTTAAAAGTTTCTTATATTTTGTCTCCTTGGCCCTAAACTGTTTCGACACAAATGATTTCGATCTGACAACTATCAAGTGTGACAGCATCCCCCAGATGAAGGCTTGTGCAGGGTGCATAACCAGGTAGTGAATATGGTCGTGACCTGGGTCTCGACAATACATAACACTCATGTCACACCTCAAAGCTGGTACTGGCTCTAGAGTGCAGGGTCACAAACATGATCAATAATATATTATGACCAGAAACTATTGAGAATTTTAGGAATATATTTAATTGGATTTCTAGTATAAACAACCTTGACCAGCTATCAAGTGCTTGGTTTCATTCAAGAGAGACAACTCCGTTAATCCTTTTTCAGTGATCCTCAGTATGGATGATTCAGAGAAGAGGAAGTAGATTTTAGAGTATTATAACAAGGACATCAGATCAGTGAAAGGAGGCGGCTTGGTATTCTTGTTTCTAAAAACAAACGAAGGAGTTTAGAAAACTTAAGGCTGGATATGATTGATAGAGGAACTGTGGCTGTCTGTAAGGAGACAATTAAAACTGAGCTGCATGCAATGGGTTCGCAGAAAAATCGAGGAATTCCATCACCGATCATGAAACCTGAACAACAGGAGCAAAGGTGCTTACAGCATAGAAATTTTAACTGGGACAATGTGATTTTCTCAGATGAAAGTTCTGTGTGGCTGTTTCCTAATACACTGAAATTCTGGACCAAACAAACTGAAAAACCTTTTTATAAACGCCCAAAGTACAGTCCAAAATTTAACGTGTGGGGTGGCATATCTGTGTTAGATACGTGTATTTGAAGGGAATATGAACAGTGAGCGGTGCACAGATATTCTCGAGGGACATTTACTTCCATCTGCTCATGTGTTCTATGGAAATTTTTGGATTTTCCAGCAGCACAACGACCCAAAATATGACATTATTAGATTGGCCAAGCTTTAGCCCTGACCTAAATCCAATAAAAAAAATGTTCGGGGACTTATGAAGGAAAGTGTCAATAAGAAAATCTGACAAATATTGCTGAAATGAAAGAAGAGGTGGTCCGATATTGGGACAGCATGGACCACGACTTTCTAACTTCTTTGATCAGTAGTATGCCTCACCACATTGAAGCCTGCATTGCTGCCCATGGTGACTGGACAAAATACTAACTGTTCACCTGTCTTTGAATCTGGAGTTAATGTTCTGCTAATATTCACATGTAATGAGTGAAATTTAAAAAAAAAATTACAATCTTTAAATTCTCAATAATTTCTGGTTGTACTGTAGCTAACAACAGAACACCAATCAACAAACACATCAGATCCACAACCAACCAATCAGAGGCAAGATAGCATCATGAATGTTAAAAGTCAACCCTGACCTCAGCATAGCAAACATGGTTTTGTACAATGACTGGTTGGCAAACCCATGCCGACAACTAACTACATCAAACAATAGACAGATACAACATTTAACGATCAAAATATGAAAGTGTTGAAACTGAAGTTCTCCATATTTCCTGTGAACCACTTGAACAATGTTTACTGGCTAAAATGTATAATTTCTTGCAGTGATACACAAATCTTGAGACAGCACGATGAAACAACATCTCATTCTGTGTGTACATGTACTTTGGCATGTTGAATATTTTGGCTAGATCAACATTTAAAATCACATGTGGGTCTATACTGACTGGAACGTGTTTCTTTGGCAACTAAAAAGAGACTGAAATCGGCACAGGATTAAGATGACCATGTTTAGATGCTTTTCAAGACACTGTACTGGCCAGCTTGTTGTTAGACTTAAGGATAACTCCAACCAGTGATCTCCATAAAGGCTGAAGACTAAGGCCTACGTCCACAAATGATGGCTGTGAAAATGTTATCAAGAATGTACTACCATGGTCACATGGAATGTCAAAGGTCATTGTAGTGACTTCCTGCTCAGTTTGTTAGTTTCATTCCAGACAGGTCTCTGGGGCCAAGAAACATGAATGTTCACAAAAGAAAAAGGACCCGATCCAACGTTCAAAACTAACAAGGTTCACTGAACATATGTACACATATATGCTCAACAAAACAAATGTTACCTGACAAAACCAAAGAAATTACAGTGTATTTTACAAAAATCACTTCAAGCTTAAAAGGTCAGATTAGAATTGATTTTCCATATGATTCAATAGCTGTCTTGCTAGAACTGAATACAAGTCCCTGTACACGGTATGATAATATGTTAACCATATTGTACAATACACAGTGAAGATTCTATAATACAGAAGCACCGCTATCAGTGTGTTAGGTCCAGACACCATCAGTAAATAACACCTTAACTACCTCATATCACCAAACTTGTCACACATGTCCAATATAGACAGGACTATCCAGGTGAAGCTGTGGTATTGTAGCAATGTGCTGACCTTACTTTTAAACATTGTAGAAGTTCTGCTTATACTATCCAGCAATATCAGTCACATAATGCTCTGATTTTACAATTTTCATTTTCATTTGTCATTTTCAATTGTACTTTGCAAAAATATTCTGGATCTGCAGGGATGAGAATTTTCTGCGGATTTCCGTAGATTTGATCGTGCTGGGGTCATTCCTGTGAATCGTCTAAATCCGAGGAGAAAGATCCCAGGCTCATTTTCCTCTTTTTCACTCATACCCATTCTCTCTTGATCTGTAAAACTCACTATCTGACATTGCTGGATAGTAAAAGCCGTACAGAGCTACAATTTCACAGCTAAACGATGGATGTATTTGCACAGCAAAGATGGTATAGTAACAAGACTAACAACAAAATAACCTTCAACAGATTGCGAGTGATTTTTAAATAGACAACATTTCTTACATGTGTATAACTACAAGAACAAGCAAATAAGAACTATTCAAAAGTGAATGACAAGTTGCAAATTGGTAAAATTTGATTTACACTGCACAATGTAACAAGAGTACATTGCACTTATTTTGTTCTAGTATTTTCATAAAATCAACAACATCAGAAAATATGTTTTCAAAATAGATTCCCCTTCATAAAAGATCAACAGAAATTCAGAATGGACAGATCAACCCTCAGACTCGTTTCGTCATAAACGCAATAAATTCCATGAAATTATGTGCAGAGAAACGCTATCAGGATCCACAATCAAATTGTTAATATGAAGTAAATTTTGCAGTCGTTATCATAAATTAACATCCATCCATTGAGCCCTATTACACAGATCCTACCAAGCAGAAAGGTCTAACTACAAGGCTTACTGAAGCACATTCTGCCATTTATTTTTCCATGACTAGAAAAATATCCATTACTTTAAATATATTTCAGTTACACCATAGGCAAGACACCATAGTATTCTATATATGTAAATAAATATCAGGTCAAACACCACAAGCAGATCCTATAAAATATCAAGTCTGAACTGCTACACAAAACATGCTGTAGTTAAATAATATTGTCCCTGAACAATATTTGGTCAGCTAAATGATTTAACCATACTGAATGTAATTTGATTTCAAATACACATTGATTGATTAGCTGACTGCACTGTACACAATCACATTTAACATTTTGGTAATACATTTGTGAAGCTTTAACAAAGCATTGCAGACCAAGAATCCCCAAAATAGTGTGAAGAATAACATTTCATTGTTCATAAAAAACATTTTGATAAACATCAAAATATATTTAAATCCATACATTTAGAGACTAATATAAAGCAATACAGTTTACAATATTTTGCATTGATAATTGAATAAGAGATGAATTTTACATAATCTCATTGCACACTTATCCATTAAATTGCTATGGATGCAGAAGTTGACAGAAAGAACAACGTCCTGCGCTGTTTACATTTCCAATGGGGTTGAGCACTGACTTTGAAAGATCTCTTGAATGGGCTTGAGTTAAGGCACACTTTTCAGCACCACAGAATCAGGTCCTATGTAACAATGCAATCAACTCACGTTTCAATATTTGCGATATGTGTTTCTTTTGAATAGTCTCGCATGACAAATATATGGATCACCCTCTCATCACTAAATGCCAGGATCTCGCTCATCTTGAAGCTAGATCTTCATCACTAGATACAGAACACACCATTTTTTTCATGACAAACTGTTGAAACATTCGAAACATTTTGCATATCAACTGTCTTCTGAAAGTGAATGGGTATTTTTGTCAAAAATCACAAACATGCAAACTTCCACCCAACAGTCTCTGGTGTCTCAGTCAGATGAATCGTGTCAGACTTCTCCCTTTTCTCTAGGCTTTAGATGTCACAAACCTGGTTGTAACTTGTCTCCATCAACATCTCGATCAGGAAACAGTGAGAAATCACTCCATCCATGATGTTCACAATTACAGGATACAAGTTCTATCTCGTCTAACACAGCACTTTTGATGCTTATTTCACACAAGCTTGATTATCAGTCAAACATTTGCTCACAAATCAAATATGTCTTATTGTCACCAGTAATGAACCACAATGACTCAAAAAGGACTCCAAAGAAGCATTTCATATCACATTAATAACCCAGTGCAGTAAATCTGAGCAATCACTGCCATATAGGCTTTCTGAGGCATCTCTGATAGAAACAATGCTTACAGAATCCACACTGACAAAATCCTGAATCAAACAATAACTGTCAGAATCCTAGCTGGACTTATCCATCAGAAGCAGCATTGAGCTTGCCAGCCAATGGATGCAGCGAATAGAAGCAGTCACTCACAGATACCCAAGATGGAATCTTTCTTGATTCCTTACAGTGGACAAACTCATACTTGTCTACCATCAGGTCAGCAAGTCGTCTCTAGCAATCACATCTCCTTCCACAGACAGCACATAAAGAACACAGCTGGATTTCCCTGGTCTGATCCAGCTGAGACAGGTTCAGACTAGTCATACTTGCAAATGGGTCCCCAAACACTTGGGAGAATCTCTGTACTATACTAAACTGTAGAGAAATGTTCAGTGTTTTGACAATGAAGAGTGAAGTTAGTTTCATCTCAAAGACTTATCGAAGAGGTGAGGGACAGTCAGAGAGATGAATGGAATCATTGCAGATACAGATGGAAATGATGGTTATCAAACTCCTGAGACTTGGAAGATGACAATCACCAAAACATGATGGTTGTCATGGTAACATGCTGATTAGAGCCAGGTAGACAGCTGAGACTTGACCTTCTTCAAGTGTAGGAGTCCAGATGGCCACTTCTTGAGCAAGGCAAGCGACCGCTTTCTTGCTAGTCAGCTAGAAGGTACATGGACCACACACGCGCCAGCTCGACCCGTGCACAGTGACGCAACCTGAAACAACAAACATTCTTGACTACAAACAATATCCTTGAAACAGCTAAAACACTATCTTAGTCTCTGAATAAAATGTGTAAGATTTGTAAGCAAATGAACCAAGACACGTCATTAAACAAAACCGATCTTTGACTGAAATATTTGTTAATTATACCTATTCAACAGATTAAAATGAACTGTCGACTATATTTAAAACAAAAAACCCACACAAAAATCCACTGTTTGGTGAACAAAACTAACAGGCATGCACATCTCATACTGAAGCACCAGTAAAATCTTCACTTTAGCCCCAGGCTTACTGTAACACATACCTTGGTCCATTCATTGGTGATGGGATCATACGACTCCACATCATTGAGGTACTGCTGGCCGTCATAACCCCCCACAGCAAACAGCTTGTCTCCAAGTGGGCAGAGACCGACAGCATCTCGTGGGGAGCCCATTGGGGAAATCATGGTCCACTGGTCTGTCTTGGGGTCATATCTGGGGGAGATTCAGTATTGTTTCACCACTGATAAACAGGACTATAGTCACAAAAAGGATGTCATCAATGCAGTTAAAGATGAAAAGAATCTTGGATTTGATCTAGGAGTATGACAAAGGGACATAACTCTTCATCATTTCTTCATTAAAGAATATCTTACAATCAAATAAAAATACCATAGAAATCCACCCACAAACCACTTGCTTGACAAGGACATTAGAATCTATGTCGAAACACGTCTATATAGAATAAAGAAGTTGTATATCCATAAAAATAGTCCTCATTCTTCATCTACCTAACTTCTAGAATATCAATCAAAGAAGTCACCCTTTAGATTGTTTGCCTTACACAGTATGCCAGCTAAGCAACAGCAGTCTTGTAATGAGTAAATCTAGACCAGACAAACCAGTGATTGATATAATGACTAACAATGGTATGCTGTCACAGACCACCCTCTCTAATATGTAACCTTGTATGACAAGAATAGATAGCTGGGTATTTATTCAAACGTATCCCCATCAGGCCTTCTAAACATGTATCTCCTAATGATGAGTGGTCCCTTATTATCTGTGAATAAGAAGGTAGCCCTTCCACTCTTCAGTGGTGTTATGTCCTCACCTCTCTGCACACTCAAATCTGCTGCAAGTAGGGTTGGTAGCTGGAGCTTCATGCCCCCCGACAGCATACAGGAACCCGTTACACGTAGCCACGCCCACACCACCCCGCCGCCGCTTGGACATTGGGGTACAGTGTGTCCACTTGTTGGTGTGTGGGTCAAAACACTCCACAGACTTCAAACAGGAGCTTCCATCACGGCCACCCACAGCAAACAATCTGGCAGAAATAACAAATTATTTTACTCACAGCTACCCTAAAATGCTGTTTCTATGTTAATTGTGTAATATTACAGTGAATCCATACTTTAGCACAGCAACATACAATGTAGCCTCGTCATATATAGAAGAAAACACATTTTTTAGCATAAAAGAGGTTCATTTGAGACTTTATTGTGTTCAGCAAATCATCAATTTGCTTAATAACAGAGGGAACTGTATATCAAATAAACCATAACACACACTTCATTATCAAAATAGCATCTGGTTCACCAGTTTCATAATGACTTCAACACATGACAAGTGGCTTGTTAAATTTGTGATGCAATTTCAAACTGCTGCAGGTCGTGCATGACTGGCTTTTGACAAAGTAAGCAAATATAGGTCTATATGATTTTTAGCAATAGCACAGCAGGGGACACTAAGAAATGGACTACACACATTGAACCCATGTGGATAAGTGAACCTGGCTTTTGGATGTGACTAGTCATCCAATTACAACTCGACCATCCCACCCACTATGTCGTCAGGTAAACTGGTTTGGTTTGGCTAGTGTTTAATGCTGCACTCAACAATACTCCAGCTATATGATGGTGGTCCGTGAATAAACGATTCTGGACCAGACAATCCAGTGATTGACATCATGAACATCAATCTATGCAATTGGGATACGATGACACGTGTCAACCAAGTCAGCAAGCCTGACCATCCAATCCTGTTAGTCGCCTTTTACGACAAGCATGAGTTGCTGAAGAATAATTCTAACCCAGATCTTCACAGGTATTTTCAGGTAAAGGCTAATGCTGACAATACGCTAGCCCATCTGGTAGGTATAAAAGTGAAACTATTTTCTTTTTTTGAAGAAAGGGACATGACATGGCATCAGTCCACAATCTTTAACAGGATGAAGCATGATGTGTACATCTGCTTATTGTACTTACTTCCCAGTAAGGGAGGCGACACCGACGGTGCTGCGTGTGGTGGACATGGGGGCAACGTAGCTCCACTGTCGAGCCTGGGGGTCCCATCGCTCCACCGTGTTGAGGTACGACCAGCCATCATGTCCTCCCACTGCGTACATTGGTCCTTCCAGAACACCCACTCCTGCAGAACACAAGACATTAGTGACAATAAATGAAAAATATCACCGAAATCAAAACCAGCCATCATCACCTATGAGTGAGTAAATGAAATTAATGGAGGCTGAAGCTCCAAGAACTGTCAATAAGGATACTCTATTACTGGACTAGGCATGATCCTCAAAGCAAAACACTTTAACTATATCTGTCATCACTTGGTACTCTAACATTACAACCATTGTAATGCTAATGCGAAGTAAAGCTTTGTGGCCTGGCCTCTGAGGGTTCCTTCCTGATGTATCACCTCACAAGTAGTTGAAAGCAGTTTCAGATATGAGGACTATTAATGAGGACTATCATGTTAAGAAGCGATGTATTCAATGAAACCTTGCAAGTTATCAGTTCATCATCATCATCAGTTTAGTTAAGCTTTTTTAGCAATATTCCAAACATCACGTGATGTATTCAATGAAACCTTGGGGAAGTTATCAGTTCACACTGAACCTTAGTGACCAGGTTTAAAAACTACCCTTACCCCAGACCATGCCTGTGGGTTGACATTGGTGGCATTAGTGTCCAGGACTTCTTCTTGGGGTCGTAGCACTCCACTTGGGGTCGTAGCACTCCACAGTGTTCAGAGTCTTGAGCCCGTCTCGGCCCCCAACAACAAACAACTTGTCCTCCAAGACAGCAACACCAAACTGCAGCCGGCGACCATTCATGTTGGCTACCTGCGTCCATGTGTTGGTGCGGAGGTCATACTTCTCAATGCTTGTGGCCCCTGGAATAGTTAAACAATCTGTGAAGGCCCTCTCACTGTTGCCTTAGTTTGGGTCCAGAAACTAAGTGAGTGAGTGAGTTCAGTTTAAGCTGCTTTTAACAATATTCCAGCAATATCATCATCGTGGGGGACACCACAAATGGGCTTCACACATTGCACCCTTGTGGGGAATTGAATACGGGCGTACGGTGTGATGAGCCAACGCTTTAACCATGAGGCTACCGAACTGCCCCTCCACAAACTAAACTACAGCAGAGTAGATCAATTTTGTCCAAACCTTTAGTCAGGTTTATCATCGCTAATCATATTTGCACCTGATGATTATGAATGGAAGTGTTAGGATTATTAAAGAACTGTATCCCAGAAAGTTTTCATTGCATGTAAATACTTTTCTTTCTCAAACCCAAATCTGAAAACAAATTGCTCCTTGGCTTTACAAAATGAAATTACTACATCATAACAACTTCAAGTTTGTCCATAAATTTATTGTCAATTGTTACTGAATATTTAATGGACAGAAATTTTAACATTTGAATTCTGTAGGCTCCAAGTGAAAAAAAAAACACTTCTAATTCTTCAATGGTTATTTATTTTAATTGATAGATAATCAGTGCAGCCATTCTCTTGATTAATTTACTTCCATTTTAGTCTATAGCAATCTAGTCGACGTCTCCAGTCGAAGTAAATGTCACCACCAACAGATCAAGCTAAAAGTGCATTACACAAATAGAGACTATTATACCAGCATGAGCATCATGCAAACTTTGATACATGCATCAGGATTCTTGTATTTTATGAGCAAGAGCATGAATTCTTAAAAGAGGTTCATAAAATCATTAACACACATGTAAGTCTAAAAGTTTCACAATTGTTATAAGTTTCCCTTTAAGAAAAGTGTACATATCATGACCAGTTAATCAAAACAACACAATTGTTGAACGATGTCAACAGTCCCTAGTTGCAGCTTAAGTTATATTCTGTATTCTTCATATAAAACAATGTATTTCACATGTCAGCTGTCACATGTATGTGAGATAAATAATTCACATCTTCTATCATCTCCAGAGACAAATAGCATCTTATATATATGAGATTGACAGAAATGCTTTTACGAACCTACATCCGACAATGGAAATGTCCACCTCATTAGGAGGTTTTAATCAACATAATCCGACTTTGTAATGGATACTTTGATGACTTTGCCTTGTCATAAGCAGCACTGCAGACAATATGTGACCCTTACCATATTGTGTGTTGGTCTCTACCAGCCAAATAAACAATGATCAAAGCACCCCTAGTTCCCGAACTTGGAAATAATTTATCTTGAGGGTTTAGACTTGTCATCACTTCCAATCTATCACATCATTTGGATAAATATTAACATTCTGCAACCTTTTTCAGAGGCAGTTAATGCTCAGATGATAACTGATGATAAATATTTACTGTAAATGTCAAACTCTTTTCAAAGTATGTATATTTCTTTTTGCCTCCTCAAAAAAGACTAGAATCTTTGATTTTGTACATTCCATGACACCACCAGCATACTTGACCCCTACGGTGGACTTGCCAGGCCTACCTTTTGTACAGTCCATGCCACCAACAGCATACATGACCCCTACTGTGGACTTGCAAGCATACCTTTTGTACAGTCCATGCCACAGCGGCATACATGACCCCTACTGTGGACTTGCAAGGCTTACCTTTTGTACAGTCCATGCCACCGACGGCATACATGACCCCTACTGTGGACTTGCAAGCTTACCTTTTGTACAGTCCATGCCACCGACGGCATACATGACCCCTACTGTGGACTTGCAAGCTTACCTTTTGTACAGTCCATGCCACCGATGGCATACATGACCCCTACTGTGGACTTGCAAGGCTTACCTTTTGTACAGTCCATGCCACCGACGGCATACATGACCCCTACTGTGGACTTGCAAGCTTACCTTTTGTACAGTCCATGCCACAGCGCAATACATGACCCCTACTGTGGACTTGCGGGGCTTACCTTTTGTACAGTCCATGCCACCGACAGCATACATGACCCCTACTGTGGACTTGCAAGGCTTACCTTTTGTACAGTCCATGCCACCAACAGCATACCTGACCCCTACTGTGGACTTGCAAGGCTTACCTTTTGTACAGTCCATGCCACCGACGGCATACATGACCCCTACTGTGGACTTGGCAAGCTTACCTTTTGTACAGTCCATGCCACCGACGGCATACATGACCCCTACTGTGGACTTGCAAGGCTTACCTTTTGTACAGTCCATGCCACCGACGGCATACATGACCCCTACTGTGGACTTGCAAGCTTACCTTTTGTACAGTCCATGCCACAGCGCAATACATGACCCCTACTGTGGACTTGCGGGCTTACCTTTTGTACAGTCCATGCCGACAGCGCAATACATGACCCCTACTGTGGACTTGCAAGGCTTACCTTTTGTACAGTCCATGCCACCGACGGCATACATGACCCCTACTGTGGACTTGCGGGGCTTGGTGCGGGGGCTCTGGAAAGAGGACCTCCTCTCTGGGAGCAGATGATACTTGAGGGCCTCCATGATGAGTGTCTGGCATTCCTTGTCATCCCGGAACAGGGGATTCGTCTCCACACAGTCCGCAATAAACTAACAGAAAGAAAGCAATACATATTGTCAAGCTAAAACATCAACAGGAAGACTGAATGCCAGGATTAGCAAAATAGTATCTATGCAATGTCAAATGAGACCATGGTTGGGCTTCAGGCTTTGTAACCATTTAGAGAAGAGAATTTGGCTGTTCCATGAGAACACAACTTAACTTGGATATACATATGGCTTTAAAAGCACACGAATATACAAATTGATATATAAATACATACAGCCCTGAGCAAACACACTCAATACCCACAAAGAACTCCTTTGCAATAGTTTGCTGCTATGGACATTACATGTTCTGCGAAATGAATACCACAACCCCAGGCAATTATTCCTTTATATTGGAAATATCGGCATTTTCTTTAATACTGTGACAGTTATAAATTCCACTGGCAAAACTGGAGTCCTTCCCGGAGGCAGGTCTTTGTCAAATGTGATCAATAGTAATCATAACCATTTTTTCTCATAATACCGGCTCCACACTTTAATCTCTCATCTATCTGGCTTCTCTCAATCTACTGATCATCCCTACAGCTTCAGGAGCAAGTCCGCAGATCAATACTCCACCAACAGAAGCCAGACGCTCATGTTCTTCCATCACTTCTAACCAAAAGTTATTCTTCTCAGTTTACACTTTTCAATCATTACTGCCTTGTGTTTCGTTACCCTCCATACAAGAAACTGCTTCTCTGACAATACACGACATATCGGAGCACGGATTTCGGAACATAATCGTGTTTAATGTGGAACAAGGATGTAATATTATCACCAATTTACATCAACTGTGATCAAATATCCTCTCAAACACGCAAAACCAAATCATCCGTGTCATCTTTTATGATTGTTGGACAACCGAAGCCACAGTTTCACAACATTATTTCAGTCACATCGATGGAACTTCCATCTCTATAATGGCATGTATGGAAGTGAACATCCTCCCCAAACAAAGCAAATCCACACACAATCACATTAATCGGCGCCCTCCTCTGAGACTCACTGCTTGCTAATTCAGCAATGGCTGACCATCCCAAGATGCTGTTAGTTTCCGCTCAATCAACAACCTTCACAAGATTGAGACATTAAGTAAGTCTTGACCCTAACATTGCAGGGTCAGTGTCAAGGGAGATGCCTTGCCCAGAATGACCGGGTGACAAGCAGCTGTAACTGCTGTAGGATTGTAGTGGTCACTCTGGCAGACATCTATAACAGGGATGAGTGGAAAAGTGAAGGGGTGTTAAGCCAATTACCTGACTTAGGAAGGGTTCAAGCCACAGTATAAGCATGGCAGCTTCAGACCGAATGTGGGTTCTGAAAACGGTGTTGGTTATTGTTATTGAACCCTGATGTTTGGTATGAAGAGTGTGAGTGACCAGGGGTATATTCCACTTTATCAGTATTTCAGCCTCAGACATCTAGATCAGACTTAAAACACTGTTTCGGAATTTGGAACTGAGCACAGGTCTTTGGCATAATGGAAGAAGCCTTACTCTGTGAGTGAGTAGAGTTTTAAACTCTCATCACTCTGAACCTTAAGATTTAGTTGCACAAACTGTATAACTGTTTTAACTGAAAACAGGTCATTGGTATAGGCACGCATTAACCATTTGTCTACCTATTGTATAACCATCTGGTTAAAAGGAAATGCTATGTCAGTCATTCAGTGTTGTCAAGGGTAATGAAGACACTTCAGAGCACTAAGTACTGCGAGAAAATACTCCATATATCAAGGCTTGATGTCAAGTGGCTAATAAAAATTGTACACCATATACATAACAGAGCTCCAGATAAGATTTAGCTAATGTGGGTACTGTACCCACTGTATTTTTTTTTGGAGTGGGTATTATGAATGTTGAGTGAGTATTTCATTTTCCGTTACCCACTGCTTTCAAATATGTGCGTATTTCAGTCATTTTACACACCTAAGTATTGTGTCATTGAGTAAGTTTACTAAGCAGGTATGTTCTGCCTTATGTGATACCTACTCAAAACCAACTTAAATATAAGGGAAATGATTTCATAAAAAATCAGTCATCCTATACTGACAGTACAACACTTGTCCTATACTAACAGTACAAATTGATAGCAATCAATGTCTTTTTCATTACGCAAGCGATTTTTATAAGTATATTCCGTACGCATTTGTTTTAAACTCTTTGCGTATATAAGAGTTTAAATGCGTAATTGGTACGCAACAATTATTTTTCAATGTGTAATTGGAAATTTTCTATGCGTATTTTACCCGGATATGCAGCTTATCTGGGCCTCTGACATAAGAAGAAATAATAAAGCGAAATACAATGAGTAATAACTGCTGCTGCACATTTTGGATCTCATATTTATCTAAACACTAACACATAAATAATCTGAAGGTTCCGGACCTTGTAGCCTAGTGGTTAAAGTGTTCGCTTGTCACACAAAAGACATGGGTTCAATTACTCACATTGGTACATTGTGTGAAGCTCATTTCTGGTGTCTTTCTTTCCCCGATATTGCAGGAATATTCTAAAAGCGGGACTCACTCACTCACGCACTCACTCTAAATGATCACTGACAAAATGACATATGTATTTTAGAATTCAGTATCAACATATGAATTCAGGATGCAAGTCAAAATGTCTTCATGACTTTCATCTGAAAGCTCTAGGGAACCACAGACTTTGAAAAACATTTCATTCCTATCTTTTTAATGAAAATCTAACAACCACATTGCCACTTTCAAAATGCGCTAAATACACATCAAAGATCAGACTCAGGCTGCAGTTTTACTCATTTCCCATGATCTCATAAAAAAACTCTTCAACAGGCGAAACATCTCATATTCCTGCCGCTAGAATTCTAAAATAGCACTTTTTCTGTAGAAGCATTTAAAAGTAATGTTTCCAGGGCACTTTCATTACAGTATTAATCCAACACAACCTTTAAAGTGTAAAAACAACAGTTTTATGTTTGTTGACAATCCAGCCAACAAGATCTAAAAGTCTCCATAACATTGAGGGCTATTTCAGCCCAGGCTACACAACATAAAATAAAGGAAGCTTAGTGTCAAGGGAACAAAAACATATTGTTACCAGTAAAAAAAACCTAGAGAGATAAGAAATTTTCCCATACCCTTCCCTGGTAAAATAGTGTATGATAGGCCCAACTGTTCTTAGCATTCTTGCACAAAGCTGGGCATGATTCATCCATGCAGAGGAATGTCAGGAGGGGAGGGAGAAAGAGTCTGTCTCCTGATTCTGGGTGTCAGCTGTTTTCAATATCAGTACATCTGTCACACTGCCCTGTCAAGCATCCAGTTGTTACCCTGCCAGTCCGGTACAGCCAGATAAAAACTTATACCTATGTCTCTGGAAGTGATTTAACCTGACCTGTGTTAGAACCAGGAGCATACTGAATGTGAACTTTCTTAGCTGTAATATTATGTTGAATCTAAGTCCATGCTGTAGGGGGATAGAGTGTCTGTTCAGACAGCAAAAGGTTGGTGGTTCAATCTCCTGACTACATTGTGCAGGGTGACGTCAAAACTTGGTATATGTTGTTACCTTTCCCAGATCTTAAGTGAGTGAGTGTGGTTTTATGCCGGTTTCACCAATATCCCAGTAATATCATGGGACACCAGAAATATGCTTCACACATTGTACCCATGCAGGGAATCAAACCCAGATCTTTAACATGACAAGCGAACGCTTCAACCCCAAGGCTACTCCACCTGGATCGGGCAATAAGGAGATGAAACAAGGACTAATTAGTTCAGAGTCACCACTCTGTCTGATTTTGGTATTTTTGCCATCATTCATTCCAAATCTCATATTGTAAACTTTCAACCCTGATAACAGGCTTACTTCAAGAATAAGATAAATATCCAAAAACCTATGACCTTTTCTGCCATGTCGAAACATGCCCTGCTATATATGGAACTTGAAGCCATCAATAATTCACAAAGATCCAGTTCAATGACCATCAGCTGTTTACCAGCCAAGGTTACCAAACTGAATAACTCCCCTGTCGTCACTTAAAGGAACGAGCTCGATCCCTGTGGGGCTTAAGCTGTGGCGCTCAACTATTGTCAGAATAGAAATAATCATCATTAATTAATGCAGAGCACAGCATCGACAGGTCTGAACTTTTGATTAAATGCAGTGGATTGGAGGCAGTGGGAGATTATTGTGTCATGAGTGACAAAGAGGGAACAACATGGGATTTGTCATCAGCAGTCCTAGCAGTACACAGAGACACAAGATTGTTGCAAAACACTGGTCCAAGCTTGTCAACCATATTTATCAATTCTGTCAGATAATGCTATTTTTTTTCATGAAGGAACTTAGCTACAAAGTATTTCCTTGAGAGATTATGTAAGTTTATTAACTGGAAAACAGAAAAAAATGGTATTTTGACATTTCTTTCTTCTGGTCTCTTGGAGAGAAGGTATTTCGAGATGATAGCACATCACTTTAATAACTAAGAATGACAAAGACTCCTTGTATAATATGCATCTTGGTTTCAGTAACCCCAAGGTTAGATACAACATATTTCTGTTGAATGATTGTAGGAAGTTGATAACCTCAACAGACATACATTGATATGGACACTGTTATCTGTCATGGCCTACTGATAATGCTGCTACATAAGAACCATTAATAATCATAGGACAAAAATACAACCTTTGGTAAAATATGATTTACAGGTCTTAATCAATCAAGGTCATGTCTATGTGGTTGAATGAATAGTTCCTAATAAAACAAATAATTCAATAGACACAGGAACCTATATCACTGTGCCTTTACAAACCCAGTTTGTGGGACAATCTCTGCACAATATCCTCGCATAACCAACACATTAGTCAAGCGGAAATGACATGTTGGATATACAAGCCACGACACATGCTTGTCATACAGACAATAGAAGCATTCTTACACTCGTCCTGAATCAATAGAGATTTGGAAAAACCTTATCTCAATGCTAAAAAATACCAAGAAGACTAAGCCCAAATTGTTTCGTTTACATTGAACGGCCAACAAAAAAAGCATGTGTGAGACTATATATAGTCTAGGGTGTCATACCCTGACCACATGATTGTCTGTTAAAGCCGCTATGGGACTACCCGAGTCTTGGTTATCTAAGTTTACAATAACTCAGTACAAGGAATGAGCCTGAGTTCACATAAACAAGCAACAGGATTATCTGACGTCTTCACTGGGCTTTGGATGTGCCATAAATGGATTACTAAAAGTTGTTGAGGGTAAATGGAGTTTGAACCTATCAGTTATATACAGTGAAATCCTGTAAATCAGGATGGAACAGTTCAGAATAAAACTTCTCTTTTTCCTGATTAATGGGGTTCAATGCACTGACTACATATTGATGTTCCCAAAAGTAATCAACCAGAAGACAGGGTTTACAGATCAACAGTGTATGCATTAATGAGGTTATATGTATCAGATAGATACATACTCTGATCTACTGCAGACAGACCATCGATGAAACATGAAATATTTCCCATAAAGGTTAAAGGGCTAAGAGTAATAAACTTTTGATATTTGCACTAGTGTATTTTAGTTATTCTTAGAACTGAATATTGCATTCAAAGCTAAATGACATCATACTGTTGCAGTGTTAAAGATTCCTTACGCCATCATCTATTCTTCATGAGATCACAAATGGCTAATGTTCTCACATCAAAGATGGCTTATTGAAGAGATGACATTTCATAAATTTCTCTATTTTTTCTGAAATTTAAAATGTGTATAGGCTCAGAATATCCTGTAATCATTAAGGCAAGATAATCCTATACTCATACAATCATCAGAGCTTTCAAACGGTAACAGCCAGGTAAAAACTAGGTATCATTTCTGTGACTCCACTCCAAGTTCACAAAGCCAACTAAATGATGCTATGACTATCATAACTTGGTCATAGAACTAACGTTCAATCAATAACAGTCATTTGTGACACCTAATGCTCATCCAAGCAAAATCTGACAACAAGCATTGAGCTGATAACAGTCTAGATTTTACAGGAAGAGGATTGATTTCTGTGTCAAAAAGGTTCATCTGCTTTGCTAAAAGCTCACCTGTGGCGCCATCAGTGGAAGCTTGATGTGAGATAGAAGTTTGGGAAGACATTTTTTCCTGTTGTTCAGATCATGTTTGGACCACTTGACCAGAGCTTCGAAGATGGTTTCTTCATTAGGTACGTTGAGGTCATCGCTGGCAAGGAGGTGACAGACTTCCTCCGAGGGGAGGATGAGGAATTCCTGGTTATTCATCACCTCCACAAAGTTCTCCTACAACAACAGGGAGATGGCAATAGCAGTGTTGTTTAGTGACTACTCACACAACACTCACTGATGAACATTATGTATGGAATGTTCTATCTGGTAATTACACCATGTTGTTCATGATGAGAGAAAATAGGTGAGTGAGAGAGAGCTAGCAAGATCAAATTTAATGTCAAACAGGCAATATCTAAGTCGTTTTGTTTTGTTTATTTGTTGTTTTATTCTGGACTCAGTAATATTCCAGATCTATGGTGGTAGTCTGTAAATAATTGAGTCTGGACCAGACAATCCAGTGATCAACAGCATGAGCTTTGATCTACACAACTGGTATACAATGACATGTGTCAACCAAGTCAGCGAGCCTGACCACCCAATAAAGTTAGTCGCCTCTTACGACAAGCATGAGTTGCTGAAGACCATTCTAACCTGGATCTTCATGGGTATCTCTATGTCTCTTTAAGGAAGAAAGTGACTTTTGCTTCATTTTACTGTTTTCAGTATTATAGACACATCACAACATAATTAACTGAGACACACGGTCCTATCCATTGGTTGATGGTTTGGGCAATGATTACCCTACCTTGGCATCAAGTCACATGACCAGCTAAGTCACAGCTGGAATAGGTCACCCACTGTTTCTCAGCATAAGGTGGAAGATATTACCCATTTCTCGAAAACATCAACATATACCCTTGTAACTGTTGATTGTCTTTTTGTTATTGAAAACATCTACAGACATAAACCTTGCCACCATGAGTACACACCCTCCCATACAGAAGACTGGTAAATGCTCTCTGAAGACACCCTGAGTACTCACCATCACGTAGTTGTTGGCCACTTTGTAGAGGTTGGTGCATCCCTGAGCATCAGCAAACTGGCGGATGCCGATACAGTTTGAGGGGTGGAGCTGCTTCATGAGGAAGCTGCAGCATGCCTCCACCACCTCCGACAGCTGCAGCAGACACGCCGTGGACAGCAAGCTCTCCACAGTCTCCTCCTTCAGCTCGATCTTACCTGTAAAATACAGGTCTTGGTCAACAGGGGTCTCAAGGTTATGACTTTATACATATGTGGACACAACAAACAAAATTATCATAACTTTGATTCAATTGAAATATCTATTTTGCTTTTGTACTTTAACATTAGAATGCCTTGCTATTATGGCACATAGCTTTTACAACTCACCAATCAGGTTTGGGTTGTTGTTCCTAATATAGGACAGTAACAGTAACTTTTAAACAGTTAAGTCCTGACCAGACAATCAAGTCACTGTAATTGTGATATGATAACATGCACAAAACCAGTCCTGAACACCCCATCCCATTAGTGCCCCTCACATCAAGCATAGGTTGCTGAAGATGACCTATAGCCCTGAATCTTTTTGGAAGAAGTGGAATCAGATCCTATGGCATGTAATGATAAACTTCAAACGACCCAACATGCAGTTTTCATTTGTTTGTTGTTGAACACCACAGTCAGCAAACTTTCCCCATATCACTGTCTGGGTCAGACAAACCTCTAAAGATTGAGCAATGTTCATTGCTACACTGAAAGTCTTCAAGCGTGTTTAATTGTAATGTTTGGTGTGTTTTTGTCATTGACAGCTCATTTTGATAATATACAAGTACCTGATGAAACTGATTTGTACAGACAGTAATTGGATATTCTGAAATTGGAATTGATGTCTGGGGGAATAGGCCAGTGGATAAATATATTGCAACACAAGTTCATTCATTAATTTGGCTACATGTTTCACTGTCTGCAAGAAGGAAAAGGGAGGGATCCAAATGCTTTTTTCACTAAACCATGAAGTGGGATCTGTATCCACTTACCATTATAACTAACTCCCACACTGTATAATAGACTTACAACATTTAAGTGAGTGAGTGAGTTGGGTTTTACGTCGCTTTTAGCAATATTCCAGCTATATCACGGTGGGGAACACAACAAATGGGCTTCACACATTGCACCCATGTGGGGAATTGAACCCCGGCGTGACGAGCTAACACTTTAGCCACTAGGCTACCCCACCACCCCTTAACCTATATATATACTCATAGTAGTAAGATCACTTTGTCCAAGTGGACCCAGTTACAACATGTTAGCAGTATTCCAGCAATATGAACATACGACACCAAAAATGGGCTACATACATTGTACCCATAAATGAATTCAAATCCATGTGTTTAGAGTGACAAGCCAGCACACTTACCATTAGGCTACCCCACCACCCCAATACCCACAGAGATAAGAATATAAGTCAGACCCCATACTATCGGTCATGTATACTACAGCATATGTCCACAGATATGGGGAGAATGTCACACTGTTGATATCAGTACACCAGGCTATGACAGCTGACACCAATACAACAGCATGTTGCTTAGGTTACAAGCTGAGTATTGACATGTGTTCCTGTTGTAACAGCAAGCCTGTACTGGAACACCATACCTCTGGGACCAAACACAAAACAACCTGCACATGGAGTTATGGGACAAAGGTCGAGGTGACCCTAGTGACCAGACCGAAGATGACAAAGATGAAGAAAATGACATGCAGCTTATCAATGATTAATATTCAGCCAGCTTCTCATCCACTGATTAAATTTCTGTCAACGACACAAGACTTGTGCTATCACCAAGAACAGATATGGTACAAATAATATTTTCCATACAAATGCAAGCTCAATTCTGTTTTACCAAATATTGCTCAGTTCAGAAGTGAGTTGAGATTGAGATATAGAATTGAACAATGTATTTTCTTTAACAAAAGCTGTAACGTCGAATTTTATTCTAAATGGCTCTTATATCATGGCTTATTCAAAGACGACTGAATTAATTATATTATTAATATGTCTGATAATTAAAAATAATCGTCTACTTTTGTGAATGGTGAGTGAATGGATTGTCTTGTTTTGTAAAAAATTTCCACCTGTATGCCATTAAATTACTGTATATCTTCAGACTGAGCTGTCCCCTGGCTGCTTAGTTTTGACTAACAGGGATTCAGAAATAAAATTTAAAAACAACAACAAAAACAAAAAACAGATATGGTTAAACTAAACAGGCATATTCTTTATGCACTTCAGGGAGTAGGAGACAAACAACTTAATTATTTCTTCATAAAACATTTATAAAAAGAAGCACAAAATGATACATGCATTTTGTTCACTTTAGGCACACATGAAAAGAATTATTCCAGCTGAAAAACGACATGCTCCCCCAAACCCTATCTCTGCCAAGAAGAAAAGATTTCGAACAATCCACCTGAATCACAACATGAAATTTTTGCAAATAAATGAGGATACCATTCTCCTGTAGTTTTGAAGGAGATGAAAAACAGTGAAACATAAAACCATTTTTTCCCCCACATAGACTAAGTCCGATAGCATCTGTTCCTTAGTTCTATACATGATCATATGGCAGAGTGTATTGAAAATACCACATGGACGATGACTGTGAGGAACCATTTGCTCCATGTTTTTTCTTCAACTAACCTAATGAGGGTAATTTGCCTCTGGCATGTTTCTTGTTGAATTTCTCAATAGTTCCCACAGCTCCACAAACAATAGAATTACTTCCCCTCAGGTGGAAAAAAGTGATGGAAAATGAAAGCGTCTGCTTATGTTTTTCCTTCTGAGAGCTGTGCAATACAAAACAAAGACTACAGCCAAAGTAAAACCATCCCCTCTTGCTCCACAACAGGCTACCACAGCAGTATAAGAAAATGATCTTTGACATCACTTCCCTCCGCCTGACATTCAGCTTGCTTTTAACCTTTCTTGTATTGAAATCACATGACAAAAGGTTAAACCTGTCAACAAAATCTTTAAGAAATCCTTATCTGAGTCCTAATATGTTTGAAATGTCTTCATCACAAGACCTTATTGCTTGGAGGCATTTGGATATAATTAAGCTAGGTATTTTTCGAAATTTGCGAATGTACTTGTCTATTTTCATTTGAATGAAATGAATATACTTCCTTAATGGCTATAAAATTACAGGCAATGACACATTTACTACAATAACATCCTTTATGGCACAGCCATCCTTCATTATAAATTTTATTACTGTTTTACACCATTGTTAGCAATAATACTGCTGTTGTATATTGCTGTCAATTGTGCCTGTTTTTAGTACCAAGAATGGGGTATCAAAGAGAGTTGCCCCATACTTGGGTAGAAGATCTAATATTATGTGCTGGAGTTACCCATGTCACAAAGTATTGAAGAATCAAAACAAGGACAAATATACTTTTCTCATTGAACGTGGGGTAGCCTAGTGGTTAAAGTGTGCGCTCATCATGACGAAGACCCGGGTTCGAGTCCCCAGATGGGTACAATGTGTGAAGACCATTTCTGGTGTCCCCCGCCATGAAATTGCTGGAATATTGCTAAAAGTGGTGTAAAACTAAACTCACTCACTCTCACTGAACGTCTTTGAACTCTCTATGCTGATTTCCTTCAAATCAGATTACAGTACTATTGGTGGGTATGTACATTAGCATTGAAGGTTTCTACAGGAAGGGTTGTATTATAGACAATGATATACTGTTATCCTAATAGCCCACATATAGTGAAGCCTGAGACAGGCAGGCCAATGGTTAACAGCTTGAGCAACCATCTAAGCTGTCTGAGCACTCAATCCCAATTTACTTGACTGTTATGTCAGGCTTGGGGCACTGTTGTCCTAAACTGGAATCCATGGGGGGAAAAAAGTAAGAAAATTGCTTGAAGAAAATATTCAATAAATCATATTGCAGAATACAAAACATAAATCAGTCATTTCCTACACAACTTCACAAACCCAGAGAGCTCACAAATGTCAATCAACCTGACCTCAGAGAAAGCTCTGAAACTTTTGGGCAAGTGGAATGTCATTTGCTGTCCTACAATGACATCAAATACATGAAACCTTCTGATGTGCTTATCTTGTTTAAACAAAGTGCTAACATGCTGCAGGTCACTGGAATATAACAGCTGCCACTCTTTTATCTTCACTGAATAAAGTTAGACCAAGTCTCACATCAAACCCTTCCTTCCAGTGCGCTAAAAGCTGAGAAAGGATTCCTGATGGAGCTAATGAAGCTCAAAATATGATTCTCCTCGTATCTAGAGCTGCACGTAAAATAAAATTACCCATCCATCTCTCTACAGAACTCCAAGCCCTATGTACATCCACTGGGTTTGTTTAACTCCCTAATACCATTCATTACCACAGTTTTATCTATCAAGCCTCATTAATTTGCAGCCATCATATAATTACTAGGTTTTTAAAAAGAAAATCCCAAGAACAATGAATAACTCTCGCAATGACTGACTGAACTGAATCATTAGGAGTGCCAAGCCTCCATTTGTTCATGACTGTCATGATCCAAGACAAAAAAACATCAATAATATTTGATTGTGGCAAGCTAATCAATGTTTACTGTCCCTTTCTGCTTGTCAATGATAGTATCGGATGCTCATCTCGTTAATAACATCAGCGTCTACTGTGCTGCCCATGTTGGTCATGTGTGTGTCAGTTCCATCATCACGCGACAAGGAGGTATAATGAAGTCAGCTTGACAGGCTGAATCACAGTGAAGGTCATCCCAGCTGGACACCCAGGGCTCCAGCACCTAATCTTAGTCATCTTAGTGTAAATTGTTGCGAACTCCATATCTTACACACACCTGTGTCATACCATGTTACTCATGTTAGTCTTGTCCGAATTTCTGTATGTAACAAAAACCATACACCATGTTACTCAAATTAGTGCTGTCTTAATTTATGGCTAGGGGGTGATGATGATTTTTATGGGAAGTAAGTACAATGTGAATGACCCCCCTAAAATTAATGTACAAAGTAAGTGAAACACCCCCCACCCCCAACATATAGGTGGGACACCCCTCCCCTTTAAATAATCATCACCCTCCATAGCCATAAATTATGTATGGACCCTAACTTCTATCTAACAAAGGCCCAAGACACACCCCATGCTATTCAACTTAATATTTCCTATGTATTGACTCAG